TTTTGTTCATTCATATATTTGAGCGGGGCGAAAACGCCCTTACCATCTTTTTGACGGAGATCACTAATATCTCACTGGATACGACATCGTCTGTTGATAGAAGAAGTTTTGCTTGTTGCATCGGTGAGAACCAACCCTGAACAACCAACCTGGATGAACAGTAGAACCAGAAACCGGAAGATGGAGCTTGGTTCCGACTTTATTTTAAACAAGCTATTTCTTTTACTTTTTACTGACCCACAATTTTTCTTTACTTTCGATTAGAAAAATACACAGCCTAAAACACGAAAATATTATTTATTAATATACACTAAAGCTGTAAGAATTTTGTTCATTTCATATATATATATATATATATATATATATATATATATATATATATATATATATATATATATATATATATATATATATATATATATATATATATATATATATATACCTTATAGACGTGTTTCAGGGGTCGAAATATACTACCCCTACAAACACTTGCACTGATTTAATACTCACCATGTATATATCGTCATTTTCCTTCATAGATTCATTGATATTCCTTGAATATATGAATGATGGAAGGAACAAATGAACGTGAATGATGGATCAAATAGTTCGCGAAGAAACCCGAGTTTTGAGTCACTAGCAAGAAATTTGTTTGTGCAGCTTGCAGAATCGGAGCTCAGGTTTTAGGGAGAGTCTAAAAATAGTTAGAATATTTTCCAAGAGTGTGATTCAGATATGTGGATGATTATATTTGCTTTGTCTGATACACTGTCTGACAACATTATTTTAATAATCGATTTTCCTTCCATTAAATCTTCTTAAATTAAAAAACCATAGATTACCATTTTTGGATATATTAATTGTACGTAATATAATATTTTAGCCTGATCTATATTTATACATTTTTTCGGGAATGCTCAGAGCACATCGCATTTGTTTACATCATTAAAACAAAATCAAGCTAACCTGTCGCTATCGAACAAAATTCAACGATTAAACTTAACCTTCAATTACCCGTGTTTACGGCAATTCAATTTGTACCACTGATTATTCGAGTATTTTGAAAATAATTTGACTCGATGTAGGTAATTTTGTTGACCAGTTAGGCCCTCAAAGCTAACGTTGGATTGATATGAATTCTAATAAATATACCTTTATTTTTTATTAAATAGGTTTGTTGCATTTTTTATATTGATTCTCAAAATTAACTGTCTAACCAACAATTAAACACTTGAGGCTTAAAAACCGTTTGAAATATCGCCTACATTTTCTCATCTTGGTCAATACCAAACGAGTGCCTTATTAACGCTGAATTTGGAAATACTAGTTTAGTTTAGTTTAATCATATGTTGAAATGTTGATGATGCTAAGTGAAACGCGTGTCCAGTGTTGAAATAGTATATTGTGGTTAATTATTGCTACTATCTTGCTATTTCTGAAATGTTTAATACAAGATCCTTATATTATTTTTCTAGATCCGCTTTTTTCTCTTCAAATACATCCAGCTTTTCTTTTACTTTGTAACCTTGGGGAGAAAATAAAAAAAAAACATAAAACACACAAGTCATTCTTTAAATAATAAATTGGAGAAATAAATTAGGAGATAAATAAAATATCAACGTTTATTTTCTTTAAAAAAATGAGGGTTTTTTATTAGCAATTATACCGTATGATCGAAAAAAAACGGCGTCAAAGACGATTGGGGCGTCAAGACAATCGATGATAATTTTGCAGAGGTCATTTTTCGACTTCGACTACTAAAAATTGACATAAAACTACTGAAAAATTAACACTAATTATAGACAACTAAACCTCATTTTTTTTATCTGAAGAGGTGAGCCACTTTTGAGACGAACCCGGTATAGCAGGTTTACAAAAAACATTCTTTTATTATAATTCAATATTATATTATATATAACTGTATTTATCAAACAAATATCCTAAAACTAAAATGACCTAAACAAAGAAACTAAATAAAATGCTCAAGAAATTTAAGGCAACCCTAGCGCAAGATACGTTTGAAATAAAGCGTAAAATAACAAATTATGAGTAATTTACGAGAAATTAATTGGAGTGACTGAAAATGAGATGAAAAACATTTTGTCTCCAAAGTTTTACGTTTAATTACCTTATATATTATATATTAAAAGGTTTGTTATTTCGGGTTAATTTCAGCCAACAAAATATTATTTATTAATTTTAATACTGAGCAGGATTAGTCACTTGTAATGAAAAACCATCTCAGAAAATAATTAATAAGAGCAGTGCCCTATTATTTGTTATTCTTTTCTAAAACTTCAAAGAAAATATGAACAAACAAAAGACATTGAGATGATGAACTAATGAAACGCTTAACAAAACCGAAAAGATCTTATATTTAATAAACAACCCCAAGGTCAGGTTCTGATTATTTGAATTTCGAACACAGGAGCGAAATAATAAGATTTATTCTCCCTCTTGTCAAATTTAATATATGCATACTTGTCTATATACATATGTACATAAATTTGTATAATTGACAAAACTTTGTCAATTAAGAATATTATCGGCTATACATTAATGTTCTAGATCTCCAGAGAAATCATTAATAAAGTACAAATACATTACCTTTGTAAGTTGGCACTACTAGGTCATTTTATTCTTCTATTGAAATTGGTCTCGCTTCAAAAGTTTTATCTAGGCTTTTTTATTAACTACATAATGACTAACGGCTTTTTCTCCAATAGTAATTTTATATTTCATATGGTATTCTGTGAACGTTTAACTATTTAATTAATAGTGTGAATATTAATTTAACAACATTAATAAATCCACAGTAAACGCAAACTTGCGTATGGAAATTCTCAGTGATTATTTACTTTAATAGATTTGTATGAATATAGACCTCAATTCATATTTGACTATTACAATAATATATATTAAATAAAAAATACGTTTTAATAATTTTGTAAACAGGGGTTATAACACAAAGAATACAAAAAAAATGTCTATACTTCTGTGGCGGATTCATCTCTTCAAAAAGTCCACTGGGTATTTCGCCAGTTGAACTGTAAAGGCCCCCATTCACTGGGCGATTTTGTAGAACCAAGTTGAGCGATAAAATTGCTTCTAAATTTGGCTGCTTGGAACGGACCATTTATAAGGCGACATTCAAGCGATTTGGTTGTCAATCAATTTTTCTGGAAATTAATTTCAGTTGCTATTTTTTAGTAGTTAAGTATAAAAATAGTTGAGCAACCCGGCTGCCGACGTCCAATGATTGGGCGATCCTCGTACAAGCTCTTTAAATTGCTGGCATTCGCAACCCGATTCACCTTCCACACTGTAAATCAAAAGTTTGGCAACCACAACATTCTCAGTCCGCTCCATCTGAAAGCGCTGTATGTAATTAAAACTAAAACTATTTTTATCGTCTGAACAAATGTATCTTGTTTAATTTATCTATTTATCCATAACTGAAAACATGTTATTTCAATTATTAAATTTAGTCGCGAACATCTCAAGAAATTTTTTTTGCTATTATTTCGATTACCAATGTCCCTGAAAAGCGACTATTTCTTTAATTGAATTTGAAATTTTAAAGGCAGGTAATATAGATAGAAATATGCTCTATCAAAGGTAGCGCTTCCAATTACCTACTTTTTAAAGGTAAAACTAACTTTTGACGCGCTTTTTCAATGAAGAAATATTTAAACAGAAATTTTACTGACGCTTTTAAATTACTTTTCTCCAAGTAGCAGCTAGGGTTTTCCTTTATACACATTCTTTTTTAATAATAACGTTATTTGTATTAGTGTAAAACTGCTAATTAATTTGATAATAACAAGTTAAATTAAAAAAAAACGGTTGTTAAACTGTACCATTAAAACATGAGTTGATAATGAAATTCCAGTTAACACAGAAGACAGCTGTGATTTACATAATTCCGCAAATGGCCATGGGCAGGTCACCGAATAAGAAGGACTCAAAAAGACAAAAAGGATCACTTAGTTCTTCTAGGTTCTACAGAGAGGTGTAAAGATATCAAGAAGATGTCTTAATCTAAGATGGATGCCATCAAAACATGAAAACACTTGAGCAAAAAAGAAGGAAGAATATGCTAGAGATGAATCACCGTAGTTATGATAAATGTGACTGAATCATAGTGATAATGATTAATATTAGTATCACCAAACAATGACAAAAACTAGAAAATACTCCATAATGTGTAAATTTAATAGATCAAAATTTATGACCGAGAAAAACCAAAGATTTTCCTTGATTTAAGTAAAAACAATCTTCTGAATGACACGGGGTTTTTTATGCCCGCTTCTGAATGAGACAGGACAAAACATTGTCTTCTCAACGAACACCTCAGTAGATTGAAGCTAAGAAACAACGGCGAATGCAGATTCTGTGGGCAAAATGGGGAAATACCAGAACACCTCATCACTGAGTGCACCGAGACGACAACCATTCGTGCCATAAACTTTGGTACGACTGATATCGGAGATGGAGAACTAGCCTCTGTAAAACCGTCTCAGATACTGGCTTTTGTCAAAGCCCTGAGACTGTAGGATGAGTTACAACGTGTTATAACTCAGGAAAAGGGGACAAACAATAGATCTGTAAGGTCGCGATGATTAACTACCCTCCCAAAAATTCTACATTCTACACATTCAATAGAAAATTCTTTGTGTCCCAAGTTCTCCTTTATAATCCATTATTGGGTTTTTATTTTTTATCTCTTTTTAATATATAGTGCTGCTACATACTTGACTACAAACCAATAGTTATGTCAAGGCGTCTTTAGATTTACTTTAATTTCCTGAACTTTTTTCAGAGTCATATAGCTTAAGAGATTTTTTTTGCTTTGAAGTATAGATTTACGTAAAGAGAATTACTTTATTTTTCACAAATTGTAATTATTATTCAACACTAATTTCTAGAACTGTTGCTTCTCTAATTTATCTTTGTTTTTGCCCTTTTTAACAAGAAAGTATTTATTTTATTCTTTTCAGATCACAAGGAACCAAGGGAATCAAGAGACTCAAGAGACCCTAGAGAACCGAAGCGGACATCTTCTTCAGGGGCAATCCTGAGTCCGAAAATACAAAAATCAATCAAAGTCAACGAGAGCCAGCTATTGTTTTTGTCGGAGAGGGCTAAGGGTGATCCCGATCTCGAGGGTCCCCTTTGGAAGAAATCCAAAACATCGGAAAAGTGGCAACTACGTCACTTCATACTCTATCAGGTATGTTTTGATAGGTATCTCTCAATAGCTTTGACCATATTTCGGCTTCAATTTATATAAATGTTTGCAGAAGAAACAAGATTTTTTGAATCATTTATTTATTTATAATAATACGGAGAGTTTGAATGTTTTTTTTCCTCGTGTTTGTCAATAGCTTCAAAGTAAATACCTTGCGAAAAAAAGGGATTTTCCAAGGAGCACGATTGAAAACTATTTATATATTTTGTTTGATATTATTTTTATAAAAATACCTTCTGTTTGATACTTATAAATTTTTTGAAAGCTTTATTTTATATATTTTGATGTTTATAAAAATGCCGCACATAAATATACATGTACAGGTCTTTATATATATAATTTACAATTTATTATATTTATTTGGTAATTGATTTAGTAATTAAACTTAATATAGCAGACGATAATGAATATATTTATAATTTAAATACTTCAAATTTGGTGAAAAAAATTTAGGTGTTATAGTAAGTATGGTAAGTATATCTAGTTAACTTTTATTTTAATTTTCTATCATTTATTATTATTTAAATTTCTACTCAAACCTAAATAATGTCTCAAAGGCAAAATAAATCAAAACTATATCGTCTCAATAAAATAATACATTTACTTTGTTCAATTATATTCTTTTATTGATTCGTAAATTTTAAAATTAATGAATTAGTATTTGTTACATGTGCTCTCGAATTGCCATTTCATGTAACCCGAATATTTACTAAAACATATTTTTTGATTCCATTATATTTCTGCGTTGTTGAAGCCTGTAAACAAATATCAATTTTTCAACAGTTTGGTTATATTTTGATCTTTTTTATTTTAGTGTGATTGGGAAATTTTTGTGAAAATATTAAGCCATTCAAATTCCCTCCCCCAATACATTTTCAGTTTTAATAATAACTCTTAACTAAGTATTTACTCTTACTAGTCCTGCGTATTTTTATATCCTACAGTCCTTGCGAACAGAGTTCATCTCAATCTTTTAAACAATGTTTTATCATAATCATCATCATCATCTTTTCCTGCTTATTCAGCCATATTCAGTTATTATAGTGTAGTCTCCTACAGATATTTTGATAATCCCTTTGTAGTTTGGCCCATTGTTGTCTATGGTTGGCTATGCGAGCCCAAGTTATCCCTGCTAATTTCCTAATATCATGGTCCCATCTTAGGTTTGGTCTTCCTCTAGGTCTCGTGGGTACCATGCTGTAATTTTTGTGGTCCGTCCTTCTGGCCAGGCGTCCAGCACATTCTTACTTGAGGGATTTGATTCTGTGAATGAAATCTATTACCTGGCTTATTTTGTCGTATCCAGTCTATTCTTTTACGATTTTTCTTGGTTATCCCAAGCATATTTCATTCCATTGAACGGTGTGCGACGTGCAGTTTTCTTATAATGTCCGTTTTAAATGTCCAGGTTTTGCATTCATAGGTCGTGACTTGTAGTTTGGCTGTTTGGGTACACATTGGCCGAATGTTTTCTTCTTTAGATAACTTGGCATTCTATAATGAATATGATTAAGATAAAAGACAATATTTTATATGTTATAATAAAATAGTAGGTTCTAGTGTATAAACGTATTTGAGAAAATTGCACAAATTTTATGATATTTTGCTTTGTATTAGTTAGTGTTTTAACCAATAACAGTTTTATTTTGTAAATAAAATTCTGTTTAATTGGACCCGATATTATGAGAGTGGGTATAGAAAAACATTTTTGTCAGATATGGTTTGCGGTAAAATTGCTCGTAAATATTAGAAATAACAGAGGGCCGAGGATGCCCTGCGGCAAACCGGATTCAATTATATAATTACCTGATTGTATACAACGGAACTTACAAACAGTTGCCTATCTTTAATAAATGATTTCATCTAGTTACAAGTTTGACCTTTTGACTTTTTCGATTATAAATAATTCAAATGTAATAGATTCAAATGCTCTGGTTACATCAAAAATATGACTAATTTAAGATTTCTATTAAAACTTTGTAGAAAATTGGAATTTTATTAACTTATTGAAAGGTGTAATAATAACTGTTAATGAAAATCGTCTCTATTTTAAATATAAATTAAACGAAAGAATGTCTACATCCTCATTAACTAGGAACTATAAACTGTTTACTTAATATATCAAATACAGTTAATAATCTCTGGGGTTCTGAGATTATCGCAGTGCATTCTATTGTTGATTATTTATTCTTTATCGATTGAATGCTCTAAGGGTATTTATTTAATGCAGGATGCTGCAAATGTCGATATTTAGTTAATTGCAAGCTCTTTTAGTGTGCATTATGGCGATGACTACTTTGAACCTTAATATTTCTATTTAACTGATTCCATATTTTGTGTAAGATTCTGGTCTAACTATATTCGAGAATACAAATACAGAGTCATAATTGAAATATAAATATACCAGTCATAAGAAAGTACATTCAGAGATCGCATACACTATTATCTCTATGAGGAATGTGGAAATAAATAAGTGTTGTTTTTTTGTTATTTTGATAATAAAATGGATAAAGGTAAAGTTAAAAAAAAATTGTGGGTGCACTATGTGCGCATATTTGATTCACTTCAATAATATTTCCATTATAATTTTCTGTTTAAATGAAAAGTTTCAAATAAAAAAAAAACTTTTGTCGCTTTTATTATTATGGTTAGGGAATCTAGGTAACATGTGGTGAATAAATGATGATGTGGAAATGGGAAAGCCCCACACGACCATGTAGATAGAATATCCAGTAAGTATTTTGTGTCAGTGAAGATTTAAAGCATAAAATATCTCGATGCAAAATAATTGGACTTCGAATGACATGGTGTCCTTTTTCAAATTATTTTCTCAATTTAAATTCTGGTTAGATTTAAATTCTCTATTCTGACATAAACATGCTGGTTGGAACAATAATTTAGTTTTTATTTAATTTTTATATTTACAGAGGGCATTTTGTGTGTATTTTTTTCTTTCAAATTCTAGCTTTATGGAAATATATATAATTAAGCCCAGTTCTTGTTCTGTAAATATGAAATTAAAAAAAATATACCAGTCCTCGGAAGAAACAACTTTATTTTAAATTAAAACCAAATAAAAGAGAATGGCTTAGAGCGAAGCTCTAAAGTCAAAGAAATATAAAAGCGTTTTTTCCCTTCCATATAAACTAAAAGTTATTTTACAGTATGGCGATGTTTGTTCTAATTATATAACTTGGCGTTAAAAAATGATGCTTTAAATGTTTGATTCGAGGGCGGGTTTACCTTTTAAAACAATTCGAAAATTCTTTGCATTAATATCGAATATATTATTTGAATAAAATGTAAATCCCTTTCGAATTGCTGGAATATTTCTGAACGTTTGGCGAATTATACTGGAATAATAAAATCTGCGATTTCCGAATTAGGAAAATTAATTAAAGACTTTCCACAAAGAATGTATGACAGGCTTTAATGAAAATTGAATTATTTTTATTGATAACTGGAATTAAAGTTATAAAATATTACCTTTTATTTTATTAGAATTTGTAATATAATCAGATTAAGCATTCAAAGCTATTTTTTTATTTTTCGTAATAATACCGTATGATGAAAAAAATGGCGTCAGCGATGGTTACGAAATAAAGATCGCCGTCATTTTATATGTAAATTTATATGGAAAATGTCATCGATCATCATTTTCCAGCCAACTGGACGGTATTTTTATTGAATTAAAAATGTTGATACATACTCTGCTATTTTACGCATACCTACAAATTTTCTTTTTATTTATTTTTTGTATTTAGATTATACGTTGTTCTTATATTATTTGGAGTAAAAACATATATTTAAAAAATACTATTTTGCAAGTTAGTGCTATTTTTTAATGCCAGCCTTGTTAATTAATTTATTGCTTTACTGCTTATGGCTGCAGCTCATCAAATTCACGTCTAGGCTGTACGTTGATATTAGCATATATATAAAAAAAATATAAAGTTTTGATATGTTGAGGTTATACGTACTAAAAGGAGACTTTTTAAAATCAAAAGAGTTTCTAACTGTAACTAGCTTCACCCCCAAAAACTGTGTGAGCTTCACCCCCAAAAACCACCCCCAATACGCACTGCGGTGGTTTTTCTCGTTTTTCTCGAAAACCATTAGTCGCGCAGAAAATTTTATTCTTGTCAAAAATATTTCTTATAAAATTTGCTACAAAAAAGATTCTATTCATTATTTATATCTATCCAATGTATTTCGAGCAATAACCGTTTGAAAAATGGAGTACACAAAAAATACAGGTCGCCTGTCAAATTATAGTCTCCCAAGGTATTTTAACGTGTTAAATATACACGCAACAGATATAATACTGTATAATATAAACAAAAACATTGCCTATTCCACTAAACTAACATTCATACGTTCATCTACATATATTGTCATCGTCTATAGTTTCTAGAATGTGCTCAGTATTCGAACAACTTTGCCCACGACAGCTTCCGCACATAGTTGTACGGTTTATGTTTCATGCCGGCTTAATGCAACTGCATCTTTTTACACAATCATGTTTGCTGATGTTCAAATTATTCGTACTGCCATCCAAATATCTGAGAAGAATTAACAAGTTCTAGTCGTTGGACAAGATGTCAATCTTGTTGTTTTATTAGCAGCACTTTCCCCCGATGAAAAAGACATTCTTTTTCTGAAAGAAGCCATAGGTAATGTGAAACAACGAATGTATAGTTCGAGGGACTTGCAATCGTCCAGTATTATACGTAATTTAAAAAAATCAATTTTATATATCAGGATTTTTTGGAAAAGGAAAATAACAACACTTACAAATATTTAATAAAGAAAAAGACCTTGATAGTATCGTCGATATTTTTAACAACGCAAAGTCAACACCTGAAGAAAATGAAAAAGCTGGAGAGACGTTTATACAAACTTCAATCATCTGAGGGGAGCCTTAGTGAGCAAAGATACGCTTGTTGAGACTAAGATACGCTTGTTAACTAACTTATTGAAAGTTAGTTGGTCAAGCAAACAGCACGGTACTTTTATCAAAATTGCCTCCCACATCTACTGCAGCTAGGCAACATTCCCGGAGAACATAAAATATCTTCAAGTACAAATATAGCAAGAACAACCTATAAAACCCGACCAGTACGGCTGGAAGAAAATCAACAACACCCTGTCACCTTTATATATAACAGAATCGCCCGCCCCTGCTTCAATTATGTCACTAATAACGTGCAACTACAAACAAGATTGTGTAAAAAGATGCAGTTGCATTAAAGCCGGCATGAAATGTACAACTATGTGCGGAACCTGTCGTTGGCAAAGTTGTTCGAATACTGAGCACATTCTAGAAACTATAGACGATGACAATATGTAGATGAAAGTATGAATGTTAGTTTAGTGGAATAGGCAATGTTTTTGTTTATATTATACAGTATTATATCTGTTGCGTGTTTAACACGTTAAAATACCTTGGGAGACTATAATTTGAAAGGCGACCTGTATTTTTTTGTACTCCATTTTTCAAACGGTTATTGCTCGAAATGCATTGGATAAATATAAATAATGAATAGAACCTTTTTTGTAGGAAATTTTATAAGGAATATTTTTGGTAAGTAGAAAATTTTCTCTGAGACCAATGGGTTCTGAGAAAAAAGCGAAAAGCCATCGAAGGGCGTATTGGGGGTGTTTTTTTGGGGTGAAGCTCACACTTTAGAGTTAAGAACTCTTTTGATTTTGGATTCTGTCTCCTTTTGGTGCGTCTAATCTCAACATATCAAAATTTTATAATTTTTTTCTTCTATTCGGCTATTTTAGGTCTAATATAAATATATGGTGGGTTAGTAGTAGTTCGTATGTATAACTTTTTGGGGAATTATTATTGGGCTGTAACTTCTTCGGGAAGCATTTTAGGGCAGACGTTCATAGGAACTTTTTGTTTTATTTTAATCTGTAGAATCACCCACCGAAGACACATTAGAACAAAATTCACTTCAATTTTTCTGATCTTTAGTAAAGTTGATGACAATGCAAAAAAACAAGAGGTTGTTTAAATTCCAATACGAATTTCATATTTTGCATTATAAACAAACATGAAAACGTGCCTCTAAATATTTATTCAATCTCGTATTCTCTCATTTTTTTCAGTTCTTTCGATTTTCGTGTAGTCTTCGTACAAACATAATAATAGACAAAAAAAAATACTTTTTCTAACTTCAATTTAAAAAGTTCTTTATTTTCGACACAATTGTTCGATAAAAATCGATATATCCAGGGCTTGGTTTATACAACATGTTTGTATTTTATTACATTTGTAGCAAATTTGTAAACACAACGAATTGTGAGATTATTTGCATCGTATAGAAGGAAATGTCCACCGTAGTTAAGTATAATGAAGTTGATTATACAAGGGTATTCAGTGCCTATACGTTTGGGTTAATTGAAATTTAATTTTACGCTTAGGGTGTATAATTTTCGATATTTTGATAACAACAATTATTTGAACAGTTTATTATCATACAAGAAAATACTGCAATAATTATAATTATAAACATAAAATTTGTGGTGAAAACTATTTTATATTTCATATTTATAAAAAACAGTTCTAAACATACTTAACATAGTCTCTGTAAATAATGTATTTTTTAGTATTAGTTATTAAATATGGTTCAAAATAAAAATATTTTTGAAAAGCTTATTTTTCTGAGAAATGTGGAAAAATCAATTGAACTGTATATTAGGGTTTATTAATAAGTTTTGATATTTCTCAAAGCTCAAGAAAAAGCAATAGCAATTTTATATTTCCAGCTATACAGATAAATTGAAACAATAATAAAAGGATATTACTTTTGATGTGCGCTGCGTCTTAGCTTTTCCAATTAAAATTACGATAAACTTTTAACAGGAATTAAATTCCGTTCTAACTTCATGACGACACCCAATTAATATTTTCTTAATTTCTATCTAGAAAAATACCAAACCTTGGGAATAATCCTATTGCGAACAAGATTAAATATTTAAACATTAAAGGAAATTATTTTATTTGAAAAAGAAATGTTCCGGAGTTCATTTACGAACTTTTTTAATTAACTTTTACTTATTCCAATCAAGCATTCTTATTTTTCAAAATTTAGAAGTTTATTTTGTTACCTATTTACTTTTTACTTCTTTTTTTGTTAAATACTTTTATTCGATTTTGTTGTTCATTAGTATTTTTTTTTTATTTTTATTTAATGTAGTTAAAATATTGAAGGCTACTGGCTTAAGATATATAAGATCAACATTTTTTTTAATTTAATTTTCGCCACTAAAATATAGAAAGAAGTCATGATTTTACAGTATCATAATATTTAAGCGTATCGGTTAATGATAGCCCCTAAAGAAGAGACTTCTTTTTTATAAGCTTAGATTAAAACAAAGTTTTGTACTATTATTCTATCTTGCGAAGCTTCACTTGCGAATAATAGTACGAACTTCAAATAGCTGTAAAACAAAATGAGTTTGTTTAAGTAGCTAGGAAAATCTGCAGGGATTTTACATGAAAGAAAAGTATTATAATCCCGAAGAATTTAAGCACCTGAATACAAATAACCAGGAAATTGCGACAGGAAATTAGAAAAAAAATACTTTCGTAAAAAGTATCATAACAGTTGCCATAAAAGTTGACGTTAGATTAAAAGTTATTAGTAATTTTGAATTTTTCGATATGATGCGATGGTTCAATTTATACTCTATTTTACAGCAAATACTTTAATCATTATTAGTGTTATACCATAGTTCATGGTACAATTCATCACGATTTTCAGCTTATTCAACCATTTCCAATTATGGTGTAGCCTCCCTCATATATTTAGATAATCTATTTCTAGTTGGGCCCATTGTTATCTATTGTTAGCTATGCGGGTCCAAGTTATCCTAATCATTTCCTAATATCATGGTCCCATCTCACAGGTTTGGTCTTCTTCTAGGCCTCTTAATTCCTCGTGGGTACCATGCTGTAATTTTTGTGGTCCATCTGTTGTCCAGCCTTCTTGCCAGGAGTCCTCCCATTGCTACGTGAGGTATTAGATTCTGTGGATGACATTTATTACCTGGGTCTTTTGTTGTGTCTATTCTATTCTTTTACGGTCTTTTTTTGGTTATTCCTAGCATATTTCGATCCATTGAGAATGTTGTATTCCCAGTGTTCTGTTATTTATTAGAATGTCTTTTCTGTCTACTAGTTCGTTGTACATTATTTTAGTTTTTACTAAATTCATTTTGAGACTAAATTCATTTTGCTGGGTATATTTATTCTGTATAAAACAATTATGAGCTACATAGACTCATGTTTATATGTATAGCTATCAATATAAATTTAGTAATTTAGATTAATAAAAAATAGTTAGCGTTATGTTTCTTTACTTTATACAGAATTTGCTATTCTTCTACGAACAAGACAAACTACAAAGACCACTGGGACTTATATTTCTGGAAGGGTCTTATGTGGAAAGGATAGTATATTCTGATGCCGCTGCATATCATCCAGTAACCCCGGACAAAAGTAGAGATAAATCCGAGAAAGAGACAGTGGACAAAAACGTAAGAATGCTAAATAATGCCCTTTGTGCTTTCGTTGTTGTCTTCTTTCGATCAGATTTAAAATATCGCTTTTGAAATTTTGCTTAAATTCATATTTTGGATTCCTAAAATTTTACTTCTTTTTCAAAAGGCCTTTTGATGTAATTTAATTAAAAGGCAATGCCCTTTCAGCAACAGGCAACATTTTCAAATTGAATTGAAAATGTAGAGGGTATATACAGGTATACAAAAGAATTTAGTTTTAAAATAATTTATTATTTATGGCAAAATGACGTAAGAAAAAAAACTCTAAAAAGCAGTTAATTATAACTAAGAAATTATATTATATAGCTTTTGTGCATAATTAGCTTTATTACCATTTCTTTTTAAATTTAGGGGTTAAACTAATTTAAATATCTACTTTTTGGGCCAAGACATTTACTAAATAACGCTTCCGGTTATATTTCATTTACCCTTTCCAAAAGATATTATTAATTAATATTGCCATTTCTCCCAGAAAAATTATTTTCATTTCCTGTTAAAATTGCACCATTTTATATAATAAAATGGCCCTCAATTCTTAGAAGATTAAAAGGAGTATTAGGCACAATAATCTTTTATACACTTTTTTATAATTGTGGCTGAAGGTTTTCTTACTCCCTTGATCCTTATAGAGAAATAATTAAACCTAATTTGAGACGTTATCAGAAGTCATCTGAATTTCTTTAAACCAAAGAGTGATTTAATTAAATGATATAACGAAACATCCCGCTTTCTAAAAGCTATATTTAGGGAGAAAGTTTAACAAAAGCAAACATATCAGACCCCCACGTTTTATTTCGGCTGTATGAAATCTACAGCTTTTATGATCAATTGCTAAAACATGCATTGTTAACTTTAGAGATTATTCAACCAAATCTCTTGCTATTGTTGTATGGATACAATGTTTTTACATTGTTTTAATCCATCAAATGATTAAAAAATTAATAAAGAGCCTACATGGAAGGGCTCCCAGCTCCCGCATGCACTAATTATTATGAAATTTTAGGAATTTACGTTACGTTTTCGCTATAATGTACTGAAAGGCACCGAGAGTAGTTGCTCTTAATTAAAGGCATATAAACTTCTGTATGTTCATTAAATAAGGCCAATTTGCTTCACAAATTAAAAAAAGTACCGGAATGTTAGACTAGCCTAGAACAATAATCATTTTATTAAAACAAACGACCCTCACTAAACCCGGGAATATTTACCTTTAGGCCATAATTTACAGCGGAAACTATGGATACAAGGGTTAACTTATTTTGTAGTCAAGTTAGATAGCACACAGTGTCTTGAAATGAACATATTCCAGTCAAAGTAAGAGAATTTATTAATAATACATAATAATAATAGCTGATGGATTTATTTTATAAAATTTTCTGTGTCATATGTTTGTAATAAAAGTGTCTTATCTGTTACAACTTAGATAGTTATTAAAATTGATATTTTGTTTAATGCAATGTTTAGTTAAGTATTAACAATGTTATATTTCATATTTAATATAAAATAGAACACTTTCGCTGACAATAGCACAAAAATCAACAGTTTTGACTAGTAATCTTTATATTTCGTCACACTGTGTGCCGTAACGTAGTCCCAATTAAATAGATATTTTAAGAAAAACTTGGTTTTAGTTTGATATTTTAGAACACTATAAATATATATATTTTTTAGTACTGTTTCTTGATAATATTCGGCAAAGAATTTGTCCGAAAATTTGAACTAGCTGGCATCAATGAACCGGATATTCTTCGATGGTTAGACTGCATTGAGAAAGCAAGGTAAAGAATTTATTAAATTTAGTGCAATAAATAATAAATGGGAGATACTAATTTCATTTGTTATACATTGTGGTATTAATATTGTGTCTAGACTAGACTAGATTTTATTTTAAAGCGAAATATTGTACGCATCAAAGAAAAATGGCACGAAACTGATACACCAAATTTATATTATAAAATACCGGGTGCGTCTCAAAAGTGGCTCACCCCCTATAACTTTTTTATTTTTTCAGATAAAAAATGAGATTTGGTATGTTAGTATAGGACGTAAATTAGGATTGATTGACGTATTCAATTCTTTTCGGCCACTTCTTTCTTTACCGGAAATGACTACAACTTTTGATTTTTAAATGGCATCCACCATATTTTTTTAGGCTCAAGTTTCGTTTAGCCGAAATCAGTTATATAGAATATCGGTTTATAGGATGATTCTATACAAGAAAACTAGCACTACATAATTTGATTTTTGCCGCGGAAATTCTTTGTTTTTGAGTAAACTCGAATTTTTAATTTTTCTATTATTAACTAAAATTTAAAACTTTACGGTGTTTTTAATAGTTTTTTTCATTATAGAATGACGTAAAACATTTAATATAACGAGTGATCTAATTTTTATTCGAAAATATATTTTTATCACAATAATTTTCATTGATTTTTCCGGGTTTAGAAGTGCCGAAATGTGATAGGAAGATAAAAACTACATATTTTTGTTTGATTAATAATTTGCTATAACTTTTCTATATAACTATTTCCGCGGAAATCTATCATAAGGGCGGTGTAATGGAAAATCTTCAATATTAAGTTTTCCATAGTATTCTCAACTATTTTGCATACTTTCGGTTTGGTTTTAGTTGGTTTGGTTTAGTTGTCGTTTTTATGCTTTATTGACAATTGTTTTTAAATTTTCGCATTTGTTGACCATAGCGATATTAAGTTGATAAGAATAGATAATATTCATTGATCTGTGTCAAAGGTCGGGAAGAAGATCACTGCATAGTGGTGAAACAAGGCATTTCCGCGGATTTTCATTTTTGTATCGGTGCTTAAAAATAAGTCTACAATATAAAATAATATTAGTTTTTTATATATCTCATTTCGTTACTTGTGAACCATATTCAAAAAAATGGCAACAGCGCATTTCCGCGGAATTTCATTTTCGTATTAGTATTTACAAAGACGTCTAAAATATGAAATAACATTAATTTTTCATGTATGTCATTTCGTTACTTTTAAACCGCATTCAAAAAATGGTGACGCGTTTCCGCGGCAAAATTTTTTCAGTAATATACTGCCTGAGGTACCTAAATGACAAAAAAATTGTTTTTTCTTTTTTAACAGATTTCGGCTAAACGAAACTTGACCCTTTTTTTATTTATTTGATAGAAAATGACATTCTGAATAGAATGACATATCATATGTCAACTTTTGACATTCTCGCTTAAAAAAATAATCGTATTTTAAATTTCAATCTAGAGTGCCATGGCTGTGTTAAAAACACTAATTTTTAATCAAGGAGCCTTGGAAAAATAGATTTGATCGTCTAATGTATTTCGTGTCTTGTTCTGGCCGATAAAAAGATGCCCAAATAGTATTTTTAATCAGATCTCAAATGTTTTCAAATGGAACGAGGGTGGCTCGATCATTAGCATATTTGGAAAATGCATTTTTTACGAATAATTTGGTACCACACACCTGGTATTTCGAGTCAAAATTTCGTTATGAACGGCATGTTACAATTTCAAATAAACCATATGCGAAAATGTCAAAAGTTGACTGTGATACGTCATTCTATTCAGAATGTAATTTTCTATCGAACAAAGTAAAAAAATACCGAGGGTGCCATTTAAAAATAAAAAATTTTAGTCACTTCTGGTGAAACAGGAAGTAACCGGAAACAATTGAATACATCAATCGATCCTAATTTATGTCATATATGTTATCGACGCCTATGATCCTTATGATAGGCAGTCATTGTCACGTGCCGGCACCGTGTCCGCTGATGTTTGTGAGATGCGGAGTCGTAGGCTTTGGAAACAGTTGAATGTCGGAGGTTGTTGATTTCGACCGTCGGAAAATGGTTTGGTTTGGTCAAAATAGTTAGAATTATATTTAAATATCAATTTCTGTTAAATATATTAATCTCCCGATTACGTATACTAACATACCAAATCTCGTTTTTTTTATCCGAAAAAAATAAAAAAGTTATAGGGGTGAGCCACTTTTGAGACGCACCCGGTATATGTATATAGTATTCTGTTTTAAACGAAACATCACACATCGGAGAAATACGTTGGCAGACTCAAATTTTATTGAATTTTTTTCAAGCGAGGTTTTTGATGTTTTCAGTAACTTTTTTCATTCTTACTTATTTTATCAGTAAAACACAATCAAACGAAAGGAAAAAATATCCGAAAAAGTGTTGATATTGGAATTTAGATGAAGTATATTAACGGTAAAAAAAAGACGTAGCACGACACAGTAAAAGAGTAATTTATTGCTTTCATTCGACTCGTAAAAGGAGTGTGAAGTTCGTTTCATTTTTCAATTACGCTCTGTCTGCCTCTACGCTAACGTGAATCTAACGTACCTACACAAAGTTATGCCGTCAAGAGCAGGTAAAATCACGAGAGGTCTAGCTCTAGCAGCGGCCCAGAGGAACTTGAAAGGTAAGTTTTTTCACAAAAGATGAGTCTATTTTAGAAAATCCTTTATCATCAAATAGTTTTATGATTAAGCGATCTTTGAAAGTTAATGAACATCGTATATTTATATACCCTATTAGAATTGTTTAATTATTATCCTCAAAAGCAGGTTAATGAGATTTGCCCTTGTTTTTCGCGATGAGAGAAAAATTATTTTTAGCGCAATTTATTGTTTTGTTTAAAAAGTTGTTTCTTCAATCCTGGACTAGAGGGTTCGGCAATAGTTAGACAATTATCTTCAGCTCCTAGAATAAAAAACTTGGGAATTTTGCTTAAATTCAAACCTAAAGCACAACCTAAAGTATGTACTAACAGAGTTTTCAGATGGAGCGGAGCGTCCGCGACGGACCGTCCGCGACTTCGAGCAAGTACCATGAGTTTATATGAACGATTTCACATGGGTCGCGTATGCTCCGTCTGGATGAACTATATTGAAAAAACATCCACGCGGACGCTCCGCACATACGGTCCGTTCCATCTGAAAGCGCTGTAATGTATTTCAGGAAAATATTTTAACTTCTATAGGGTGGTTCAAAAAAGTGTGAGTGGATCGGGATGATTTTTTTTAAATGGAACACTCTGTATGTTATTGCATTTTTGGCTTTCTTTCAGATCACTTTATATAACCCTAAGATATGGGTAAATATATTTCGATAGTTTCAAAGATATTAATAAATAAATTAAAAAAAATATATTTTCAGCCTTTCTTATAAATTATTAAAAATACAAGAACTGTCCGCAAATCAAAACTATTTTAGTTATTTACTTTAGATGGTTTGTACTTACTGTGCTATAAATATGGTAATCGTAAATCATGAAGGATGTTCAAAATTCTACACCAAACTTTCTAAAATATAAAATAATTTTTCTTCGTTTTTTTTAATGGAACACCTTCTATTTTTTTCAATAGATGTTTCGCATATATTTGCGGTTTTATATTTATATGGCACCATATATGGCATTTTCCCCAGTAAATTTTTTATCACAGCCACCCTATGATTTTTCTCTGGTATTTTACCGTTGATAGAGCAATATGAAATAATTCAATTCGAATCAGCCGTCTAAGATACTCGAAGTATAGGTCGCGGTGATTAACTAACTTAAAGTCATTTGATTCAAAATTATGCTACCTTAGAAAAAATTAACGAGTATTAGCAAAGTAATATTAAATAGAGATATAATAGGTGGATATTTATTTTTAACATGTTTTATATAGCAACAATTTATAACTAAAAACGCTTCTCTTATTGTTTGTAATCTCAACGTTTTGGAGAGCGTATATTAGTAAACTTCCGCTTTGAGATTAATGTTACAGTATTGCAGGTAATCTTATTGAAATAAGTTAGGCATGGCTTTGGCAGTGCAACTGAAAGTATCTGGAAGTTTAGATTTGACTTCATCGAACTATTTCAGAAATTTACCTTATAATTTTCGAGATCAATATCGGCAAGAAGCTTATTTAATTTCACTTCAGTATAATTTCGAACTACATTCACAATAATTGAACCTTTGATTAGTAATTAGAGGAAAATTTGCTTAGTGGCTGAAAATATTATTTATTTGGCACTATTAAGTATGACTACCAAGATTTAATTAAAACTGGCTTTGTCAATAGCTAAGAGGTCTTTTAGTAATACTGGTATTTATTTGCGTTTTACTAAGTAACCTTTGTTCAATAAATTTGATTTTAATTGAATTAAAACTTGAGGATGTAATCAGAGTTTTCAATTTGTTAGGTAAATGGAAGTTCATATCCGAGCCATTCTCATCTATTTTAATTATTTAAAATATTTAAGTAATATTCAGCCTCTTGTGCATTTTTTTACAAAAACGTTCTAGTCTTTTAAAAATATTTTGTTTTTTAAAGTTTGAAAATCGGAATTTTTCAAACACATTTTCCTTTATATTTATTTATCTTAAATAAAAATGTATTTGAAAAGTACTTACAGAAACTCTATATCGTATTTTAATATTTGCATTGAATGCCATTTTTCTTTGATGGAGTTTATACTAACTCAGACATCCATAAAGTTCCTTGAATTTTGCATTGAAGATTTAATATCACAAAGTACAAACGAAAGATGGGATATTTTAGTATGAACTTAGAAAACTTGAATAGTTAAACGAACTCTTAACGTTATTCAGCTTTATACTAGAATATAAATATGCTTTGCTCGTTATTTACTAAAAGAAATCGTTTAGTAAAAACACGCAAGGCTTACGGTCTAGAATATATTAACGCTGTTTTATAGCTTTAGCAAACAACACCTGGAGATGCAAAAAGTGACGGCCAAGCACATGCACATTCTCCAGGTTGTGGAAGCAGAGCAGACTGCTAAGTGGGAGTTTTCTCTTCATTGTGAAGAACTTCATGCAGAAATGAGGTTCCTAAGAGAGGAGGTAAATACCTGTTAAAACATTTGCGTTAAAATACAGAAGAAGATTTGTTTAATAAGCAGTATTATTTGTTTTAAAATATGAAACACGAGAAAAATTTCCAGATTAAGTTTTAAAATTGTTGGTAATTTAGTATGTCTCTTCATGTTTCTCACTTCATATTCTCTCACTAATTTATTGAAGGTTTACTGGGTCTACCTACTATTTTTACAAAATAAAGACAATGGATGTGCTACACAACTCTTCTAATTCTTATCACTTTCAATCAATTATATTATTTTAGCTAATAGCCCTCCGTCGTCAGAGAACAGCGGAGAGGTTTACATCTTCGCTAGTGCATACGTGCACTAGCGTTCAAGATACAAACTGCCTCTGTTGTTTGTACGAAGATTTGCAAGGCGATGAGGAGAAGATATCGAAACTAAAGAAAGTTCAAAGCTTCTTCCGTGGATGGCTCTGCAGGAGAAAATGGAAGCAGATTGTAGAGCAGTATATAAAAAGCCCCCACGCGGAGAGGTTAAGGAGGAGAAATAGTTTGGTATTTCAGCTAGTGGAAGCAGAAGAGGAGTATATCCAGCAGATGGAAGTGTTGATTACTTGTTTCTTGCGACCTTTTAAGATGGCGGCATCGTCAAAGAAACCGCCATGCACTCACGAAGACGTTAACTCCATCTTTTTAAACAGCGAGACAGTTTTTTTCCTCCACCAGATATTTTTAAAAGGATTAACTGCAAGATTGGAGAGCTGGCCCACGCTAGTTTTAGGTAAATTTTCTTTAAATTCGATTTTCATAGACTTATTCTTGGCATACAGGTTGATTCTAGGGTGTAGAGGTTCGATAAGAAGGGATTTTTCGAAACTCCAGTTCCAAGGGGGTGAAACCACCCCTCAAATATTACAATATTTTTTATTTAAAAAACGGCCAAGTTTCCGAAAAAATGCTTAAACGCTTAAACAACTTATTTTAGGATTTTTTAAAAATGTTTACAGTGTGTTTCGAAAAATCTGGTCATTGATTAATCACGATCCTGCTTAAAGCCCTTGACGTAAAAATCTGATTTTTGGAAAACAGATTGACTTTAGGGTGTAGAGATTCGATAAGAAGTGATTTTTCGAAACTCGAATTCTAAGGGGGCGAAACCCTCAAATATTAGAATATTTTTTATTTCAAAACCGGTGAGTTTTTCGGAAAAACTCTTAAACACGTATATTTTATTTTGTTGTTTTACATATTTTAAGATTTTTTAAAAATTTATACAGGGTGTTTCATAAAATATGACCATTGAGTAATCACGATTCTGCTTAAACTGCTTGACGTTTAAAGCTGATTTTTGGCAAACTGATTGACTGTGGGGTGTAGAGGTTCGATAAGGAGGGGTTTCTGGAATCTCGAATTCCAAGAGGGTTCCAACGCCTCTCAAAAATAATATTGCCGTATTGTTTTTTCTCATGCTGACATAAATGTGAGAAAATTTTATCCAGTTTGTATGTTAATGGAAATTCTTGCTTTGCTTTGTCATCATCATTACAAATGATTAATTCGACGCGAAGAACGAAGTCGCGGGTACACGATAGTAAAATATAAAGTTTCTGACTCGAGAAAATAAATCGCGGTCTAATTTTTTAAAATAAAAATTCTTGTCGACATTTACATTGCAAAATAGAAGAAACCGTTTAACGAGATTTTATACAGTCAAGGGAAAAATCGATAATACCTTTTCTAACGTATTCGATGAAAATTTAAATTCGACATAATGAACCAGAATTTCCACTATATCCGAGTATAAATAAATGTATGCCAATCTAAAGACGTTTTTATTTATAGGGGATTTATTTTCAATGCTCTTACCTATGCTAAGCATATACCAAGAATACGTGAGGAATCATCACTACTCGTTGCAAGTTTTAACAGAGTGCAAACAGAATCAACCGTTTGCAGCAACTTTAAAGAGGTTGGAGTCTAAGCCTCTGTGCAATGGACGGTCTCTTGAGACCTTTTTGACTTATCCTATGCACCAGGTAATATATTTTAAATTGCATTTATACATTGTAGTTTATAAAATTACTTTCACAGAAGAATTTTTTTAGATTTTATAAATGGTTTTAACTGATTTTTACTCAGTAATACACACAGCACTTTCGTTAACTAGTTCTAGTATGACTTTCTTTTCTCATATATGTAACTTTCTGTTTCTGCAATTTGACAGTTATTATAAATTATATCTTTTAGATTCCAAGGTATATTATAACGCTTCACGAATTATTGGCTCATACACCTTTCGAACACGTAGAAAGGAAGAATTTAGAAGCGGCACAGGTTGAGCTAGAAACATTATCAAAGCAAATGCATGATGAGGTATTATAAAGGAATTATGATTTAAAGCTCATAAAATTCAGATTGTTTTGAAGGTGTCCGAGACCGAAAATATTCGAAAAAATTTGGCAATAGAAAGGAATATTGTTGAAGGATGCGACATCTTATTGGATGTTAACCAGGTATTTGTTAGACAAGGAACTCTTATACAAGTTCCGACAGACAAGTCAAAAGAAAAGAAAACATTTAAAGGGTTTAAGGGACTCGGTAAAAGTGTTAAGGATACCATCAGGCAATGTTTCCTATTTAGTTATCATCTGATTGTTACTACAAGGTATGTGTCACAAAAAAAACATATAAATGTCATAAAAAAACTTTTTTAGGGGACATGATGGTACCTTACATTTAGTTCCGGGAATTGGCAGGATAGCTATGAGTGAAGCTATACTAATTGAAGAACCGACTGATGAGGCCCCCTTTGGTAAGCAATTTCTGTTCTTAAAATATCGAAATAGTATATGTCTTTATTTTCAGAGACACAATTCGATTCAAACTCTTCTGTAGCCACTGACATGTCGCATACGTCATATCACGGGAGAGATTTTAAAATAATAATAGACAGCAAAGGATTGGAGACTCCCGTAAGTTAATATAAAGTCAAGTGGTGTAAAAATGAGACAGGCTATATTTAGGTAAAAAATGAGACACTTGGATAAAACTACGGAAAACTTATACAGGGTCGCTGTTATGTATGGAAACGGTCAATTATTAGGTAAAATATAGGAGGTACCGCAAAAAGTTAAATATAAAAGTTATAGGGTTTATAAATATCTATTAGCGGGTAATAAATTTAACGATACAGGGTCAGTCATAAAGGCGTGGCACATCAAAGTTTCATTTTTTTTTAAATGGAACCGCCTGTATATTATTGCGTATTTTGGTTCTTCCTTCAATTCTAAGCAAAAATCGAAATACACACAATGTACCTCATACCAACTGTTTCCGAGTTATTGACTTTTGAAAATAGCACTTAAACAATTTAATTTAATTAATTTCGATATGTTCAGTTTCATTTAACGATGCCATTTTGCCGAAACTGATACTTAATAATATTTGACATTAGTTCTCAAGTTAGCATTTATAGATGTATAAAATCAGAGTATAGCAAGTCTGGAAATTACAAAATTTTCGTTTCACATTTCAATTCTCCAATTTATGTACTTACATAGTGTATTACGATTAATGTTTAAAATTGAAGGAAGAATTGAAATATGCAATATTATACAGGGGGTTTCATTAAAAAAATAAAGTTTAATTAGGTTAGGTTGTAGACAAAGATAAGAGGATCTTTAAACGTCTATTTTGTGACTGTCTTATATTCAACCTAGCATCTTTTTTCGACTTTTTATGGGCTAAATATAGACACTCTTCTCTATATTTTGACTTTTAGGGGCTTTTTTGGTATGCTTTTACTTTTGTAGTAGTTTTGTTGCCACCAAATGTCTTTATAGAAGAAATATTTTTGTAATTAAATGGCTGTAACTAAGAAAAAAAAAACCAATAGTTTTGAAAAATATCTCATTTTTCCATCACTTGACTTTATCTATTTTTTTTTTTTGTATATTCCTCGAACAAATAACAGGAAAATACATCCAAATAATCCAAATAAAACGTATTAACACGTAAAGTTCCGTAGTTCATGACAATAGTCACTGCAACAAACTTCTATTAAAGGTAAGTTTAAATCTAGGAAGGTTTGAAAGCACTATAAGCATTTTATCAGTATTACGTTGCAGTCTACAGAATATAGATATTCGTATATACTAAGATAACGAGAATATACTGTTACATTTTAGTGCCTTCAATAATAAATTAAATTTTCAGACAAAGCCATTTCTTCTTCATTTAAATTCCGCTCAGTTGCAAATGTGCGTATTAGCATAAATTGGGAAAAAATATAGCACCTACTCTGTTAACATAACCAACCTTGCGAAAGCCATGTGAATACAAGAACGATATATAAGCAATCTTATATCATTATGTCTAACGGAGATTAAATTTTCTTACAGCCAAACATACAAAATAAATTTCACAGAGTCGTTTCTAATAAATAAATAATTTCTTATCCGTTTCAAGACACAGAAAAATAAAATTTAATTTTTTATCTGATACAACTACATCTTATCCCATTTAAGGTGGCTGGAAGCTGCAACGACGTCTCATAATCTTGCTGTTAAAACATAACAATTGGTTTTTATATATAAAAACCAGCTGTTATTTTTTAACAGCAGGATTACGAGACATCATTGCAGCCATCCTTAGTAATTATTACATCAATAACTATCTTCATATCAAACCCTTTGTTGTTAAGTTTCCAAGACTATAGCACTGAAATAACACCAACAAAAACATACGAAGAGGCAAGTTCACAAGTAGGTAAAAAAACTCTCGAAGGTATTAGAAACTTTTCAGGTCCTGGCCTAGAGAGAATTAACAACTTCTGGTAAAAAATATCCAGCACCACAAGCATCTCGCCAGAACATTTAATTCTTATATGAATAAAAGGCTGGCAGATTCGCCAAGCAAGAACAACACTCGTATCAAGGGAAACCTTAGCGACAGAATTAATTACACACAGATTATTTGTCTCAACGCTTACCGCAGGATCTTTACAAGAGTTTTTTAAGCATATTATATTGAGAGTTCTGCAAGATGAACACATTGTTGGCTACTCTTGCCCCTACTAGAAAAGATAATGTTAATTTCGTAATTTTTACATTAAAACAATGCCTTCGCTTTTGGTCCCAGTAAACCTATGAAAGGCCTATGAAATAGTGTTTATGATTTATGTAATGTTACTGTTATTGAAAAATCATACTATTATTGTCTGTTGTGCAGTTACTCTAGCTGTAACTGCCCATGACCCTGTATATCTATAAAAATATTTGTGAAATGTGAACTACCATTAAACACATATTTTGTAAAAGGTTTAGAGTGAAAATCTCAAATAGGAATCCTTATACAGAGCTTTTTAGGAATACGGAGCCATCTTGTATGTATGCATTTGTATATGTGTGTTTATTTAAATACTAAAGTGAAAGCAACGAATTTAAATGGGTAAACTTTGTAATATATCTTATTAACAATATAATGCAAAAAGTTTTATAAAAATTCGTTCACAGTAAATCAATTCCGAGGTTTGTATCCCATAAGGGCTTAAAGCATTCCACTATTATTATAACTCTTAATTTTTTCTAACATACGTTTCCTGTAAATAGTACCACCGGGGAATACAGCTACTTAGCATCCTCTTAGAACCGTCAAAGTAATTATGGCACTAGTATAATTTTTATGTTTTATAGATTGTTATACATCTAGTGGCGCCGACTGTCAGTGATAAGGCGGCCTGGATCTCAGATATAGCGCAGTGTATAGATAACGCACAGTTCAGCGATTTGTTGAAACCACAAATGGCTGACACCAGTTCCATCAACTTGCCGCAGTATATCAAAAATGATCCCCGGCTTTTCCATGATGAACCGGATATTAGGTTTTCGCGCACCTTAAATTCATGCAAGATACCACAAATTCGTTATGCAACTCCCGATAGGCTCTTGGAAAGACTAACTGGTAAAGATTTAACTTAGATTTTGTTTTTTTTTGTATCGGAAGTTTACGTATTCTCTAATATAGTGACTATATTTTTTCATTTTAGTCTGATATATTTTTATTTGCTATGTAACTGGAAGGTTTGTTTGTTACTACGTCACGTTGCATGTTATGTTAATTGTTAAAATTGTTAATAAAAAGATGTGCTTCTTTTGTTGTTTAATTATTCCTACGGATATATAAAATCCACTATATCTGAAACCTCTTCAAAATGATATGAACATACATATATGGCTGACTAATATTGTTTCTATTTTCGCAGCACAATTTCAAGTCCATTTTTATTCGGATATTTTTGTGTTTTCCTTTATATGTATTTGCATGTAATTCACCCTCCTTTCTGGTTACGTTACAGGTATAACCATGAATTAGTATATCTTCACAGTCAAAACTAATATTATATTTTTTAGATCTTCGATTTCTCAGCATTGATTTCCTGAACACGTTCCTTCTAACATACAAGGTATTTACCAGTGGTATAAAAATTCTCACAGCGCTTAAAAGGGTGTATTACGCAAGTGTGGAGAAGGAACGTGAAAAGACGATGGTTCTGTCAGATACTCCGTACAGAGACGATAATACTTTAGTTACTTATGAAGATTATAGGAGGAGGAGTAGTTTATTTACTCCTCGAAGAACAAGCGGCGCAAGCTCTGTGTCAGGGTACTACTCAGAAACCAGCGACAGAGATAGATCTCTGAGTTATGACTCGCAGGGTCATAGAATATGGAGGACATTCTTACCGCCTAGATGTAAGCCAAATTAATAATTCTTGTTAAATAGATAAACATATTCCTTATAGTTGAAGACAATCAGGGACAGGGGCGTCTTTCAATTCCAAGTTCACAAACGCCCGAGAGAAAAAGAAGTATTCCAAAGACAATCGCAATAAGAGTTGACTCCTATGAAGAACAGGTCGAGTCTCATTATTTGACTGCTGCAAGAGCTCAACCATCTACCAGCACAGACGTCGTTTCAGGTATCACTTCTTTTTACTTCAAATAATTCAATTTTTTTAATTTTTCTTTTTAGATGTCACTTATATGAGTGCCACAACCTCGAGGGAAGTATCACAGACAGTCGACGGATCTGCATCAGATGTTAGCCCCGAGCCATGCTGCAAAGATATTTCTAGAGAGAAGCTAACTATCGAACAGCGACGACGGCTAGATATATTTGAAGAAAAACGAAGACAAAAACGAGAAGAGAGGAGAAAATCGGATATAACCGATTTAAAAGCAAAAACTTCAGTTGATCTGTCAGCAGAAGCCTCGGAGATTAGGCGTAAATCCGATGCTACAGCAGAAAGGAAAAAAACGGCTCTCTCTGAAGAAGCTAGAAGATTAATTGGGGAGCGCAGAAGGTCAGAGGCACCTCAAGAGAGGATCAAACCTGAAGACAGAAGGCGGTTGGAAATGCTGGTTAGACGAGCCAAGGCATCGGATGAAAGAAAACGATCTTCAGTAGATAGTACTGTAGTAAAAATAAACGAAGAACGTCGGAAATCGGGTGACGATGAGAAGAAGAAAAATGTTTATAGAACTATTACATCGCCAAAACTCGAAAGGAAACTTAAGTCAACTGCACAGCAGAGAAGTATTTCTTTGGACAGCGATGTGCATCCAGAAGATGAAGCATTAGCAACTTATGTCGATGACAGAGCTAGAAGTTCTATCGCATCAGTACATGCGTCTACTCAAGCAGTTATTGAGGTAAACAAAGAATACTCATATAGATCATACAGTCACTGATTAAATAACATTTTACTTTGGAATCAATAAAATGTTGTCTGTTCATTGCAGTAATTTCTACTTTATATGTTTTAGTTCTTTCAAGGATTTTATAAACGATCTCAAAAAGAAGGAGAGCAACGTGAACCACAATCCAGTCGTTCTACAACAGCTCGATCTAGTTTTCAATTCGATACAAGCAAAAAAACTTCAAGTAAAGCTGGTATAGTTATAACGTCGTATCGACCAGCTCAGCGAAGAAGTAGTTCCTCTCAAGCAAGTACCGCTTTTGCCATAGCCACTTGCGCTGCTGATAATCCGGTGTTGCAGTTCCAACATCGATATGCTCCTCCAGAAGATAAAACTAAATGTCTAGAACATATCATATCAACAGCAGCTACGATGAGAGTACTAAATGTATTGAGGTAATTTACAGTGATTATATTTTAATGTATTTTTTGTAATTATTATTATTTACAGACATTGGATTTCGAAGCAAGGCAAAGATTTTGAAGTAGATTATGAACTCAAAAAGCAGACTAAAGATTTCTTGGAAGAGATCAGGCACCACCCTAATTTAACTGCAACAGAGCATAAGGCTGCCGCTCAACTTCTTATGCTCTTAGACAAACAAGACGAGGAAGACAAAAAACCCGTGGATTTGGAAGAACTTCTGTGTCCACCATTAGTAAAAACAATAACGGTAAATGCTGCTTATTAATACTCATTTTTGAAATTTTAGATACCCAGTAAGGAAAGGATTGAGACACTTTCAGCTTTAGAAATCGCGGAGCAGCTAACCTATATAGATCATCAAATATTCATGCAGATTTGTCCAGAGTAAGTTATTAATAACGTTAGATCTCAACCGTGACGTTATATTATCCTACAGAGAATTAATGGGGCAAGCTTGGATGAAAGAGGATAAAGAAATACGGGCTCCTCATATAGTCCTGATGACTCGAAGGTTTAATGAAGTGTCTCGATTAGTTGCTTCGGAGATTCTAAGAAGGCCAAGCATGGCAGCAAGAGTGGCTGCCATAGAAAAATGGGCTACAGTGGCAGATATTGCTCGATGCCTCCATAATTTTAATGGGGTTTTACAGATTTGCTCTGCGTTTACCAATGCTGGAATTTTTAGACTGAAACGTACATGGGAAAAAGTCTCTAAAGGGGTAATTTGGAAAGAAAATCAAGATAATGCGGTAAGATATTAAGCATCCTTTTTCTTAAATTGTTTTTTAGTCAAAGCAAACAGTTGAAAAGCTTCAAAAAATCGTTTCATCAGATGGAAGGTTCAGAGCATTGAGAGACGCTCTTCATAGGTGTGACCCACCGTGCATTCCTTATTTGGGAGTGTATCTGACTGACTTATCCTTTATTGAAGAAGGAACTCCGAATTTTATTGATGACAATCTCTTAAATTTCTCTAAAATGAGAATGGTAAGTTTTATTCTCGGTTTTTTTACTATAGGTCAAATAATAATAATTATTACCATCAAAATCTTGGAACCATTTATTTTTTCTTTAATTTTCAACAGTATTTCGAAAGCATGTTTTGAGTATAGTAAAAAGAGTTACAATTACTTCCCGTAAGTTTGAGCTTAGGATTTCAGATTACAGTCCAATGCAGGACAGGAGTTTCAAACTAAAATAATGGCAATATATTTGATATTCATTTATGCAAGAAATTAGTTGACGAACTGCTTCGTTTTACTAACATGTGGTTTTAGCGAACAATCAGGGAGCTTATATTAACGTTTAAAGTGAAATAAATTACACTAGTACTTCTCCTTTCATGGTGTGACTCTAATAGGAATAATATTTATGTCCCTTTGTATTTATACTAAATCACATTTTCTTACAGATCGCTCACATAATCAGAGAAATTCGACACTATCAGCAAACTGCTTATAGAATAGGATTAGTCACCAGGGTATCGAATTATTTATTGGATACCTCTTTAATGATGGATGATGACCAGCTCTATGCAACATCATTAATACTCGAGCCTAGACAGGCCAGATTGACTTCACAATCTAGTATTAGCAAAAGTTAAATATTTTATTAAGTGTTGGATATCTAATTATTAAAGAAATGAAAACGTATTCAAATTATTCACATCATTATAATAAGACAATCAACGGTAGATAATATTAACTTGTTCTACATTGTTTTTAGTCTAATACAGTTTTATTTTTCAATATTTATTGAAAAATTATCTAAACAACTAAAGCATATAGTACAAGAAAAGTAGTTTAATATTATCCTCTATTTTAGTCTATAACAAAAAATATATACGTAATAAATAAAAAATATACTGAAAACTTCTAAGTAGAAGTACAATATAAATTCCATCATTCTTATCACATATCTCGTTGTCTTTCATATCTGCGTAAAAGTATGTGCCAAATATTACATTTTGTAGTAAATTTAAGACCTTCCAAATCGTTCTTAAAAATGTTTACAATAAAAAGCTCTTTAAACTTCTAACTTCTAAGCAGAAAGATAGGTAGGTAATAAGTATAGCATAGTTGGATGCCAGTAAATATTTCTTTAACATTTCAACATTTATAAACCTTTATGTCTGTCAATTACCAATCGAGTTATTTCGACAAATTCCTATTTAACGCTGTTCAGCATTTAACTAAATATATACTTGTAAATAAAGGAACGGCCTAAATACGATTGGCTCTAAAGTTACAATAAAAAGCGTAAACATGAAGAGCTCAATGTTGTTTTCTTTTGAACAGCGAGAAATAGAAATATTGTTAATTTTCTTGTAATCCCTTTTAAACCAAGGATTGTGATATGTAGAAAGTTATGCCGTATTGTTATTGCAAAATGTTTCATATTTTAGAAAATTTGAAAGCAAAGGTATTTAAAGTAGAATTATTTAGTGTTATCTAAGTAGAATTCAGAATTAAAGAAACGCAGATATTTTTTAGTAAAGCAAATAATATTAAATAAGGTTTAAATAAAAACATATCTAGCGTCGGATTAAGTGGTTATATAATAAATTATATTTACGCATTTTTTTTTCAATGTTTTTTTTTCTAATATTTATTTAAAAATTAACTAAACAATATTTTCACCAACTGTAATGTCAAGGGGCTATATAGAAATCGCAATTATTATGTAAGTCTTGTAAAATGCTGATGGAATGCACTAGCTTAAAAAAATATTGTATAACTGTTGCCTCCATCAGAAAATCAACATAAAAATGTATTCTTTTGTAAAACATTTTTTTTGATAAAAAGAATCTAGTGCATTTCTAGGCTGTAGTGCTCCAAAAGGAAACATTATCATGGCATTGCAAGAGAAACATACAGTAGCGTATTTACATGGCTTTAAAAAAATAATTTAAAACTTTAAGATATATTTGTGTGATATTCCTAACATTTGAAATAGTTAAGAAAGTTTACTGACCGTTAAGTATTTAGGTAATTTTAAGATAGAAGGGTTGTATTTAATGACTTACATTTTTAAACATTAATGACAATAATTGGTACTTTAACGAATTATGAATTCGTCTCAATTCCACTTAACCGGTTTGTTATTTCAACTTCCGTTTAGCTATAATCAGTTATCAGTTTTTCAAATTTAGAATAGCTTAGAATCAGTTATGTATGAATTATTTGTTTGTTTAGTAAAAAATATTTGTTTATTTGGTATTCGGAAGCCTTTTCGAAACTTTTTGTGATGTGTTATAATCTTTTCAAAAGTGAATTCAGGGAATTTCTTTAGGAAATCGTTTAAGTTTAGAAAAGTGTTTAGAATGTGAAGCAGGAAAATGTTTTCGTGTAACTGACTTCAGTAATTCTAACATCGGGAAAAAGAATAATATGATGTATTTCCGGAGAGAAATTTTTATGATTTTGTCTTTGGGGAGGCTTCTATATATTGGATATTTTGCTGTGATTTCAGCTCAAAAAAAATCACCCGTTATTTTTAAAGCAGCAATAAATAATGAATATAATATGTTAGATACAACTCTTCTAAAAAGACAATGTTTTAATTAAGAATAGGAAATATAGAAAATCAACAAAAAAAATCCCGCTCAATACTCTTTATAACATATACCTACTTTAACTAAAGTTTCACCAAGTGTTACCTATACTCCTTCTATTAAACTTCTATATAAATGTATATTTTTAAAGTAAAAAAGAATATTATATTTGTCAAGTTGTTATAGTTGTGTAGTTTAAAAATTTTATGTCACAAAAAACGGCATGGTTGTTAAATATTTAATGTATCCTATATATTTCAATCTATATTATTCAATATTGAACCTTTATGTATATATATTGAATGTAATGAAATAAAGCAGATTTCAGTCAATTTTTCCATTTTAAAATTTTATCTATAAATATTCTCCAACCAGATATCAATTCAACTCACGTTTTAAAATATTTTTGCTATATTTTGAATCGAAATACGTAAAATTAATTTTTAGTAGGTAATATTGTAGTGAGGTTATTTCAATTGGCTATCAGAAGTGAGATAAGATAGTCTTGGTGCTTAAATCAATGGAGTTGAAAAGCAAGACGGAATTGTTGAGAATTTATGGTCTATGACAATATGTAAACATATCTTTTTATAGAATTTTGTTCCATATTTTTTTGAATATAGTTCGATTTACTAAGTAAATATGTGTCTGATTTAAAGCGAAATTTAATTTATGTTAGTATACAAATCCCTTACTACAAATATTTACTTAAACCCTCATTTTCTTTGGAATGTGTACCACGGAAATCATCACTTACTCATGCGCTATCCAACCGTTCGATAGCAGAATTTTATTGATAAATCTATTCATATATAGAGACATCTAGTTATATATTACGAAGGAGCATAGCATAAAAGAAATCTTTTAAATTTATATTGATTAGTATTTATTTCAGCATTTAGTTTTATTGAATTTTTACTAGATGGCGGTGCTTGGTTTTGGAATATAAAGTACTAAAATAAAATCTCTATGATTTGTTTTATAGCAGATCAGTTAAAATTTGTCTTAGAAATATATATTAATACATTTTATTAGAACAGCATTTTGCAGAGGACACATTTAGATCATTTTTAATAGTTTCCTATTTTAGGCAAGTAAAGATTCATATTCTTCGGATATAGATGGAATTGGGGTGGTGTAAATGAATATATATGCAGATAATGCGAAAAAATGCCCATTTACTTTATGTCACCGATTATACACCGATTTTAATTAAACTGCTGTTATTTAATAAATAAAAGGTGTAGAATAAGAAAATGTAGACCTTGTGGTCTTACGAGCTTACGAGTTCAGTATTAATTGTAGGCGAAGATTTTATCCATATATCATATTTTTATGAAAATGTGTAAAAGTAGTCAAAAATTGTCATTTTTCGACTGCCATTCCATAAATGAAAATTGCCGATTTTCGTCATGTCACTGATTTTGTTAAAACTGATATTGTTTAATAATTAAAAGGTGTAGAATAGGAAAATATAGCACATTGTAGTCTTACGGGTACATTATTAATAACTGTAGGGGTTGCAAGTTTTAACCATCATCAAAAATAGCTCAAAAATAAAGAAGTGGTTTAAAAAATTATCTCTTCTTACTAAACCTAGGTATCTAAAATCTAAGCCGTTAATGGTTATAGGTTTGGTTTGGTTTGGTGAAAATTATTTTTTGATTATTATTGAAAAACAAGGGGAAATCAATTTTTCTCCTAAAACCAAGGTATCTTTCATATTTATCTGTGGTATCCAAAGTATCTAATCCAAAAATTATGATTTTTTCGGCTTTTTTCAATACATCTTGTTATGCACATTTTAAACCAATTAAAGTATTACTCGAGATGGTATCTAAATGGCTCAATCCAGCACAAATAGCGTTTCATATTTGCTAGAGCAGGTAAAATCCAAATTGGATACGTAATTCTGATATCTAAAGGCGAGCTATCAGTAAGGCGGAGATTTCCCTATTCCTGTGCCCTATATGGCGTAAGATGAGATATTGGAAGTTAATACTATTATTAAGAAAGATAGAGAAAGGCTCAATTTTCCTGAATTTCGCATAATGACGAAGTAGATGAACTATGCGAGGTGATTTTTGTTTTAATTTAGCTGTAGGAAATTAAAGATTTTCCTTTATAACCGAGTACTAGCTAGTTGCTGCATTATCTTAACTATAGTAATTATGTTGTACAGATTCAGAATATCTCAATACAACTTACCTAACTTTTGTTGAGATGTTACTTTAGAGCGAAGTTTAACGGTATTAATGAAACTAGAGATAAGCAGCGGGGATGTGAAGCAAAAGCAAGCAATGGACCATCAAATATTAACTCCTTGAGTATTGCTTCTTATTAAGACCTACTATATAATGATAGTGATGCCCCTTTAACTCGAATATATACTACCACAAGGGAAATCAAGTTATTCTCAGTTATTATGCAAGGGAAATGTCGAAGGGACAGCGGCTGTTCTAGATGATACCAAATACTTATTCATTCGCATATGAAATTTTAATACATTGTTTTACTTCGTTTATCTGCTTGAGATTGATATTTGTCAGTTTTTTTCCTAAAATACACTCAGATGCAAAAAAACGCAACGCAAAAGTAGAATTATTTAGTGTTATATAAGTAGAATTCAAAATTAAAGAAACGCAGATATTTTAGAAAAGCAAATAATATTAAATAAGATTTAAATCTACTTTAAAATAATATCGTATACAAGATTTTTCACAGCTGTTTTAAAACTCGTTAGGCCACACAAGGCCAACTTAATCAAACCACCTCGTCATATTGCAAAATAACATCAAAAAGTAACGGTAATTGAAAAAAATGCACAAATTGTTGGAGGGAAGTTGATTTCGCTCTTAAAAATTAACATAGGCATGGTACTGTACAACATGAGACAAAAAGAATGCCCAGAAGACATGGCTCGGACAGAAAAATAATGTTTTAGGAAAATTTACTCACGAAATTATTGCAGAGTGTTTTAAATAAGTTAGAGTAAAAAAACAATTCTATAAACCCTGTATAATAAAGCTCAATACTAAAGTTTATACAAAACTGAGTTTACGAATTAAATTTATTTGTACAGTTTGCCAAAAAAAGTCATAAAGATAGGGCTAAAAATAAAAAAAAATATGACACTTTAAATTTGATGATACATTTTTTCTTTGAGCTTTTTTGCATCTCAGTGTATAAGTAGTATAAGTAAGTGTTAATAGTTGCTAGTTTATCAATTTAGTTTTTCCCCTTAAAAAACATTATTCTTTGGTTATCTAAATTAATTTCAACATAAAAACAAGTATGGAAAATAATTGAATTGTACATTTATATCTACAGCAATTTAAACTTTAGCTTTCATTAGTGATAGGTACTCCAAAACCTTCTGAAATGATTACATACATATAACCCTTTTTCCTTTATGCTTTTAACAAAATATAAAATAAGAACTTTTAAATAGTACTTTAAATTTTTAAAAAGGGAAGTTTTCATTTCTGCAAATTAATACAGCGGCATATTATATTATTTAACAAATCATTTAATTTATCTACTGAATAGTTAAAGTCAAGTAACGTATTGGTTTCAAATTCAATACATGCATCCATTAAAAACGGTGACCTTGACTAAGAGCCAACTTACTATTTGTCTTTACAGACCGTTAAAACAGATTAACAATTATTAAGTTAAAAACAAAAATAAAAAAAAACAACAGTAGAACAAATTCTTCTGGTGTCATCCAGATAACTTATTATTCTTTCTCAAAGCTAAAATATACAGGTTATTTGTCAAGGCTGTAAAAAAGTTCTAATAAAAAATTCAACTTGTCTAAGCCAACACATTTGGGAAATGAAAAATATATGAATGTGAATTTTTTATTGCCTACAATCTTTCCACCATTTTCTTATGTTATCGTGTTAGGCTTGTTTGTTGTTAATTCAGCTCCTTTAGCTTCGTTCTAATATAATACATTGAATTATAATACAGAAGAAATAGAAAAAAGCAAAATACTGTATTTAATTTTACATAACATTTTATTTATATATTTTATTAGGCTTGTCATATACCTGTAATTCTTGAAATAATTGCACTTTCTACCTACATAAACATTTTGTTAGAATTTTTATTTAATTATACAATTCTATATTCTTTTTTGTTAAAATCAGTTGGAAAATTTATTTCATTTACTTGATGAGAAAATATATCTGATAGTAAAAGGCAGTTATGCAGGTATTTTAAATACTAATTAGAACAAAGAATACTAAAAGAACGAGTTTTGTATTTTGTAAGTAAGAATATTTGATAAAATCATTCAAGTGTTGTAAGTTACAAATGGACAAATGATAAAAAAATATTAAGTACAAGCAGGGGCTAAAATTCTAATAGGAGATAAGCATAACATTATGTGGTAAACATAACTCAGTTTGTCTCAAAATCGTTATAACTAGTAAAACAGAATGATAATACTCTTGATGGATTCTCATATTTAATCTCTTCAGGATACCCTCCTTTAATTGATTGAAAATATCTGGTATTAAAACTAATGAAACGTCGAAGACAGAAATATCATTTCAATTCGAGCTCTACTATGTCTAGACAGACGTTGAAATTTTAACAGCGACGGTGATAGCTGATCGTGAGCTCTTTGCTATCTTTATAACGTTAAGACTTCAATATATAAATATAAACATTTTCTACTATAATTATTGTCATCTGTTTAAAACAATTTAAATTTCATGCAGTTTTTACATTATACAAGAAATATCTTATCCAAGAATCTCAGGAAGAACTTAATAGTAAAAATAGTAAAACTCTAATTGAAATACTATTTCATTTGATTAAACGGTAATTAATAAAATTCAACACTAACAATAACTAATACATTAACTATAAGTAAAGAGAAATCTAAAGTAATTTACTTTGGTGAACGGCCGCGGTGCTGTTTTGACGGACTTGCTTTAGGAGTTGATGGGCCTGGTTTGGGAGAAGACGTCCTGGAACATCCTGGCTTAGGACTGCTGCTCAAAGTTCTTTCCTGAACTTTTACTGGAGCTGATCCTCTTCCTATTTTTTTCTTGTTTACTCTGCCTTTCTTGCCTTTTCCTCCTTTGGAAGTAGAAGGTGTTGGAGATTCAGGAAGTACGCTCTCCTCTTGTAGCTTGGGTCTGGGACTGTCACCAGAAGCTTCTGGAAGGAAATCATTTCCCCGGGGGCTTATATCATCAGATCCCAGGTCACTCTCTTCGTAGATAGGTGAGAGGCCACGACTCAAACGGTCTCCTTTGTGGTTCATTATCTGTAAATACAATAAATTATAGAGTTTTATTCATTTTCCTAAGAGAAAAAGGGGATTGATCATATGAAAGGAAAGGGAGGCTAGATTTATTAGCATACTTGGTCGATTTACAGTTTTACTTTACCATGAAATTAATTACGATATAGAATGTAGAATGAGTAAGAGGGGGGTTTTCCGTTATAGCTGATCATACAGTCTATAATAACTCATAATACATGGGGATCACACTGTTGTAGGGGGGACAGGGTATTTCCCATCCTTTTCTGACAACAGATGTTCATTATCAGGAGTGGGCATTTACTTCCTACGAGGATATACACCCTTCCACGGTTGGGGTTTAGCCATCTGTGCCCTTCACAGTCGAGGAGATTGTCTCCGGCTGAGGTATCCACTAGGTGGAGGCTGGAGGATCTGTCTTCATTTTCTCCACCTCTTTAACTTGGTCTCTCTTTAGACCTGATACCGGTGTTGTTCCGAACCTATAATAGAGGATATATTCCTCTTTCTCTATTGTTTCCTTGGATCTGAGGTCAATTTACAGCGCAATGGTTAGTCGGTCCACTTCTACAGAGCCCCGCATGTAGAAGTTAGAGAGACAACAATACAATGGGTTGCACCCTGGTGCCTCAAGGTTAAGACCAGTACCCACGCATCTCTTTAAGATGGTCCTGCTATCATAGGACTTAGGTTTTTGGTGAGGTTATCTCCTTTTGGTCCAGGCGGTCCCCGGTGTCCAAGACCCCCACAGCCTCCACCCGGCCTGTGATACATGACCACAGACAGTAGTAGAGGGTGCCTGGTATTACGGACAGGGTAGTCCCATCCGTTATTATACGCCTCGGTGCAATTCCCCTGGCCACAACACTACAGCCAGGGGCAAGTCAATGAGATGCTCCTTATATCCAGCCAGAAGGGATTCTTTCTAGCTCCTGACCAGGAACTTTCCCACTAACGACAAGGTCTTGCATCTCCTAGTGGAAGAATTACGAGACAGTTATCTTACTCGAATACAACATCTATACCCTTAATTTTGTTAGATATAAACATATACAATACTATCAAGAATATCAAGTATACAACCACTGCTGACAGATGCATCAACAAACGTTCTATTGCCTCCCTCGATAATAAATAAGTTATAGTTGAAGGTATAGTTATACGTATTAATGTAAATGTGAAAATAAATATATCGAATATAACTTACATGTAGTATAAATTAAATAATATATTTGTGGCCGTTAACACAATTTATTTAATTTGGCGGGCCAATAATTTACTCATGCGCCAGCAAAACAAAATATGGCTTCTCTTTTCCTTCTCTTTTCTCTTAGTTATGTCAAAGTGGTGTTAAAAAATAAAATCACTAGCATAATTATTAAAAGGAAACACAGCATTATTTATTCAATTCCTTTTTACCAAGACCTTTTTTCAATTATAAAGATAGTTAGGATATAGTTTAATAGTTTTAGGAAGTTTCTAACAAGTCAATAATATTGATCGTCTTACAATGTCGACAGTTGGCAACATTGCACGGAGCGTTCAAAATGCTCAAGATCTGACGCTTGCGCTATAAACCAGAAACGAGGAATTAAATAAATAGTTCTTCCAAGTTTTCTGCGTGATAAATAAATATAAATAATAGTTTGCTGTGCATAATTTTTGCGCAGATCCTGTAATTATATCTGTGTGTTATATTTTTATAATATAATTATGGCACACATGCTAAATATTAGTAAGTATATCGTAATTTACAATAACATAAATGTTCAATATTCATGGGCCGACATTTTTTTTAGGTAAATATTTAAAGCGTGAGCGTAGACAAAGACTCGCGATGAAAGCCCATGTTCCAGTAAGTTTAATAAAATTGCAAAAAAGTATTGTAAAATTATGTTTAATTTTTTTGGCTCGCATTTATCTATATCGACATAAATAAGCTACAAAATACTATTTGTCTATAGTGCATAAATTATTTTAACTAAAATTTTACAATGTACTTTTCTCATTTATCATTTACTTGATGTTGGTGATTAATTAATTATATCAGTCCCAGGTCAATGCACAAAACGAAGATCCAGAGTGTCCTACAGAAATGGAAATTGATCCTCAAAAGCCAGGAACAAGCAGCGATGGTGGCAGAGTTGGCAAAAAAGAAGATATTGCCATTAAGCTTCCTTCTACCAGAAGTGAAAGAAAACGTGCAAGGAGCCTTAACAGGGAGATAACTGTATCTCCTCTGGAAGAAGAGGCTGTTCCAGATTCAGGAGCAGGTCCTGCCAAACGTTCCCGCAGGGTTTCCATGTAAAATTTGGATTTCTTAGTTATATTCACTGATTTGTTTATTTAATTTCTAAGAAAAGTTAATATTAAAAGAAAAATACATATAATAAAATAATATAATATGGAGTAAGAGATTATCTTGTTCTTGTAATACATGTATTATTTCCCGAAAATCTATTTCTGCAGTTAATGAATTTTGTTCTTTAATAAATAAATTTATAAAAGGATTAAAATTCTTTTCTTTGCATGTATTTACGACTTTAGATGTATTGCCATAAAACAATAATAATAGTGTTACATATAGAAATTGAAAATTTCACTGCTCAGAGTATTTAAGTTAAAAATTTGCTTGATTTTCAGTTATATTGAGCTACAAAAGGTTTATTAATTCTTTTTGTTAAATAAGGTGCAAATAAATAACTCGGTTGGTTTCATAACTTTATTTGAGAGAAAGTACTTACAATCGTTAAAGACAAGACTAAAAGTTTTAGACTAACATCTAAGAAAATGTTCTGAGAATGTCCCTCATCCATAGGCGTAATTACAGGGGTTCTGGGAGCTGCCGAGACCACCCCAGGGAATCTTGAATGGCACCCTCATTGCAGGGCACCCTCAGGAAAATCTTGAATTTGGACTAAATTATGATAAATATTACTTTTTATAAACTTGTGACGTAAAAATTACTTTTTTTAGTTTTGTTTAGTTTAATAGCCTCTCCCCACCCCCAGGATAAATTGCTAGTTACACTAATGCTCTTATCCAAAGCATTCTCGTCTTATTAAAGCAAAAAATATTTAAAAATAAATTATTATAAAGAGAGGGTACATTTTATTTAAAACAATTATTAGCAGAGATAATTTACAACACACATTGAATAGCATATCATAAACTGTGAATAATGGAAGGTTAGCCAATGAGAATAAAAAATAAGAATACATAGATAATATAATAATTTAATGTTTTAAAGATTTTCTTTCTTCACTTAATACAACAGAAAAGAAGTTTATTGACAGAAACATATTTCCCCAATCTTCCTCTAAGTAATCTTCCTCCTCCCTCAAAGAAAAGCTAATAAAATCGTGGAACACAGGAACGAACATGTTTTAACAAAAATAATGAAAAGAAATGCATAAAAATTAAGGCCGAGGGTTGTACTGGGATTGACCTGCTACACAAACATCATCTTGATTATTATTCTGCCTGCTCTCCCTTCTTGCAGCAGTTCTTGGATCTGTTTGATGAATTTCAGCTCTTGGGTCCCTGTATCTTGAACGTAATATCATATTTCGTAATCTCATATTTTCTAAAGGGGGAGGCTGCACTGCGGCACTCTGCACCGGCTGAAGGTTTCGATTGACTTGCAGGCCATTTACTTGAGACAAATGGTAGTTCGGACCTCTAAGGACGCCATTGAGTTGAGGAGGCACTAGAGAGGGTCCTGTAGGCAAAGGTTCCAGAAGAACCACTAGGATTCTACTGTTAAAGCCGTTGGCTGCTTCAGACATATCACTGGTCTGTTCACCATTGATTAGTTCTTCATCGTTGGGAATATTGTCTCCATGGTCGCTCATGTTCTCAATGCAAACTAAAATAAACTATAGCAAAACCGTGCTGATTCAACAAATATTATATATGTATATTTACAAATAGAAAATTCATAGAATTACTTAGAACTGCCTATATACAATAGAAGGAAATAGTTCCCGTCTTAAGTAATAAGATAGCAAAAATTTATCCCAATATTTATACACATTAGATTCTGCTTTGAATGCAAGAGGTACTTATAATAATGATGAAATTATCAATCTATTTACCTAAAACATCTGGACGGCAGTTTCTCAAAATATATCCTTATCTATATTATTATTATTATTTATTTTTATTATTAGCAATACATTTTTGAATTAAATACAAGCATAATGCAGTAAATGAAAAACAATAACAAAAAAGGTGCGGAATGGCGGGATTTATGAATGACATTAATGACAGGGTAACCAGGGTGTTAAACTCATCCCCCGTTAATGTAATATCTAAATTCGTGGAATTTATTAGAATTATTATTAAAAGCTTAATTAAACTTGTACAGAAAATTATTTAGAAAAGTTTTATAAATGAATAAAAAAAAAAATGGCGCCGGGAGGCACGCATAGCAGCCCATACTAAAATACGTTAATAATCAATTATCTTAAAAACTGCGACTTTGGCTGATTTTGATGTTATTACAAATTTTGTTGCAAATATTATTCCTAATCTTAAATTGAAAACCGCGTTTCGCTAGCTACTCTGATTTTGGAGTTACAATTTTTTAAAATTTTTAACCCCCTCCCATACCCCCTTACCAACCCCCCACCCCCACCAAAAACTAATGGCCAGATTCTCGGATGCCACAGTATTTTTGTCCCAAATTTGGTTAAAATCGGTTTAGCGGTTTTTGAGTTATCGTGTTACAGACGGCAGACGGACAGACGGACAGACGGACAGACAGACAGACACCATGAAAATATTTTGTATTTAGGTCATTTATCACCCAAATAACTCATTTTGAGTGAAATTAAAAAAACTTTGTTTTGCCGATCTTAATAGCCTACCATACCTGTTGGTATGGTCGGCTAAAAATGTTAAAGAAATTAAGATAATATATTTTGTATTTTTATTATTAGTATTATGTAAGCATATTCTAACATTTTTTTTATATAAAGAGAGTTTGATTTTCTAGAACAAGAAGAAAAACAGAGTTCTTTTAGAGTTCTCGTAGTTATTTTTTTCTTAGGGAATTTGATGCATAGTTGTTAAAAATGGCTATCTATGTTGGTAATAAGAAGGTATAAAGGGCAGCCATTTTTCTTTATTAATTTTCCAGATTGTCTGTCCAAGTTTTGAAGTTTTATCACCACTTGCTTAATCAATAACTGAGGTAACTGTCCATTTATTTATTTATTACACGAGCTGTAAGGTTCTAAACTTACGCATGTTGTTAACAAATTACGCTTTTGCGTATCATTTACTTAATACGAATATAAGTTAAGATTCCGTCACAGAATATGGTCTCCTTTTTTGAGGATGTAGGTAGTTTAGATTTATTATATTGATAATCGGTAAAAGTTTTGAAAGTGAATTTATTTACTTACACTTTATAATTAAAACCCGACTACTTTAAATGAATTTAGTTGAATTTTATGTATTTTCAGTAGGCTGCATTAAGTATAAAATATACTTTGTAGTCGGCCATTTTGGAAGCCATCAATTAAATTCTTATTCCTTTATTATAGAGGTAGATGAAATTTGTCTTTCTAATACTTGGAATTTATCTTGATAATGAATAATTTCATTGTATTAACATGTCTTCTTATTGTGAATGTTTTAAGTAAGTTACCAGTTAAAAAAATAACACTAGTTTAGAACACCTATTTTTTTAAATAAATTCGTGTAAACTTTTCTTTATCTGCTAATGATGTAATGTTTTGGTTTATTGTACTAAACTAGTATTATTTTGCCTGGTGTAACACCAAAGATAAAACCTCAATTGTAGCCTACAGTTACTTTTTTGTTTGTAGATGAGGAGGGTTGACCAGCGTGGCGATCGAGATCATACACCCCCACCTGAAGGGGAAAGGGATGCTGAAGCTAACAGTTCCGGTTCACATGTTCCAGAAGCCAGTGGAGACAATGCCAGGACCGATCGTCAAGGGCAGCCAGGTCGTCCGGAACCACTCTGTTCCAGAAATGGATATGATAGAAGAGGCAGGATGCCTGTTGTAGCTCCTGTGCCACCTCCATCCCCCAGAGATGAGCCTGAGCCTGAACAGCCAGAAGAGCCAAAACCGGGTCCATCAAATGCCAGTGATTAAACTTATTTCTTAGATTTATTTTTCATAATTAATATTATTGCAATTTCTTTCGTAATTTTTAAACGTATTCACAAGTATAGTTAGATATCAATTTTTATAATTGTCGAATGCGTAAAGGTATATTAAGAATTCACACACTATGTAAATTTCGATTTTCTCAAATAAGTTAAATACAAATAAATAAATAAATATTTGACGTGTTTTTTTTTTCATTCAAAAACTTAAACGCGAATTTATAATAATGTGGAGATTAATAAACAAAATTTTAAACTAATTTAACTCCTGGTTTATTGTTATTTCAAAATTAATACATATGTATATAATTAAAAAGAATAAGGCAGTCAACTAAAATTGAAGGTATAAGTAGGTATAACAGTATGAACATGTATATGTATATTTATCTGCTAAATTGCGGCATTTAACAAATATTGAACTCATTTTTTCTTAGCCCTAACTGATCCTCAAGTCTCCAGTTTTTATAACTGAATCATTGTAATTTCAAATGTATTTAGAGAGGCCCAAAATTATCTTTATAGATTTTTTTTTATTTTATAGGTCCTGTTGGAATCTTGGCTAAGGTTATTACAATACAGCTGCCAGGCCATTATTGCTTAATTATGGTGAGAACTCTATTTACCCCTCAGGGCAAGCTCGAGGTGCTCTAGCTGGATGCTCACTTTGTTTCAACTTGTCTTAGGTGAGATTCACGCTTTCTTTTTCCTTTTCAACTGATCATTCTTGATCAACTCTTTTATTTCTCTAAGCTTCATTTCTTCTTTTTGAGCCACAATAGGCTCTAATGTAGTCATTCTGGAAAACCATTGAAGACCAACTCACCACCTCACCACAAAGCAACACCAACTTCACATTTTATACTTACATAACACCAAACTTATAGAAATAACACCAACTTTACATTTATATAGTTACCTTTCAGGATTAAATAGGTAGTATATTCCAAAACAAATGTCTGTTTCAATTGTCAATTACAACAAACACATTATGCTTGTCTACTAAGGAAGTAGTGCAGGAAAGATAAGAAAAATAAAAATATTAAAGGCGGACGCTTTAGCAGAGAAAGTATATCTTGCTCATATTTCAGAAGCTCTTGATCTAGAAAGTTAAATCTCTTATTCAAGGTGACGTACATGGACAGTAAAAGACATGATTGGTATCGGTAATGCCTTATTAATCTTTTTTTAGGATACAAGGAACTGAAGACTTATGAAATCAATTAGGAATTCAGTTTGACAAAAAGAGATATACTATTGACTACCATTATATGGGGGGGGGGGGACCAGAGAAAGCATCTCTTCACTACTATTTGATAAATGCAGAATGCACTTCAAATTTCGCAGGCAGAGTATAATACAATTCAATAAATTATTACTAGGTAAATAACTGAAGATTTTTTGTATATATTTTATTATCCAGCATTTAATTAAATAATTAATACTTTTTTTAAATTATCACAGTATTTTAAACATCCTTATAATAACTAAAAATTTTGTGTTGGTATATTTTTATAGTATGGGGAGTTGTCATAAATAAGACACTATATAGCTACCATGCTTTCCTAACTTTATTAAAGAAACTCTGTTAATTATTCGTAATTATTTAAGTTTATATTATCTAAATGAAAATGAGATTACTTATTAATATCAACTCTTATTAATAATTTTCATAAAATTATAATGGAATGATCGGTCTTTGTGTAATCTTAAAAATAAATAAGCTTTGTTTTAAATACTATTAACTTAAAAAACTATATAGTACGTGTAAATAAACGGTCTGAAAACAACGTTAAGGTAAGCATAGAAATAATAAAAAATCATTCCCTGAAAAATAGACAAATATTGCAAATTATTGCCCTGAATTTTCTTTAAAAATATTTCCCTATTTTCTAAAATACTTAAAAAAAAACAATATATTATACAAACATGTGAAAATTTATACAAATTTCATGACAAAGTATATTTTATAGCGTTTGATGACAAAGTTTTCATGAATTATTTTTTTAATTAAGAGTTAGATTTTTATGGTAACTGCTACCCAAAATTTTATTTGTAATAAGTGTTTAGGTGTTCTGTGGTAAATTTTTGTAATTTTCAATAAGTCATTAGTAAGGTTTGAACTGAAACATAATTTCGATGCCTACGGTTATATGTTTCTAATTCATCAAATGACACTTTAATAATTATTACAAAGAAAAAATAACACTCTTTGTTATTTTTACTTTGTAATAATTATTGTTAAAATGTTTCAATGCCTACGGTTACGTTTTTTTTAATTTATTGAACGGTAGGATCGAGTGGTGTAAAAAATGACACATTCAAATAAAACTACTGAGAACTTACTAAATTATAGTCACAACTCAAAATTAACAAAAAAAAATTGAAGACACCAAACAGGTATATAGAAAGATTTAATAAATGCTGGAACTTTCACTAACTTTAGTCAGCTACGGAGACTAATGGAAACTGTAGTTACTCTAAATAATGTTTTAAAATTACCACCATCAAATTTCCAGGACGGGACTTGACTAGACTGCGGAGATGTTCTTCTTTCAATAATTTTGAGAAATATTAAGTTCGTTAATGGGTATATTTGTATTTTTTGTTCCTCTTTTTAAGGTGACACTATTAATATTTTAATATCACTTATTAACTACATATTTTTCTTCATTTTTAATTTAATATAATTGTTTTACACTTTTAGTTTATAAAAAAAATGTCTCATTTTTACACCACATGACCCTCTACTTTAAGAAAAATTATTACAAAACAAAAACTAAAAATGAACTGAAGTTATCTTTAACATATTTCGTTAGGTCGGATGTTTTACGTTTAATATTAATAAATGCAATGCAAAAACTAGCGATAAAATGAAAAAAAAAACGAATGAACTAGCCACGAGACCCTCCTGGACGCGACTGGGATGGCTTCGAATTGGAAGGTCCCGCCTGGGGGGGATCCCGGTTTAGATCATCGCTCTGATCTACGTTCACATCAGCTCGACGAAATCCCCTATCAGCTGACCTCCTAGATCTCCTCCTTCTGCCTCTGCCGCCCATGAAGCGAGGGGGCTCCCTCCCGTTGTCCTCGCGATCGTTCACAGTGCTGGGACTGTCACCGCTGGCCCTGGGAACGTGCGGACCCGAGTCCCCAGCGCCCATGTCCCTTTGGCCCCTGTCTGGGGTCCCGTCCCGATTTGGAGGGTGGTTTGGCAAAGGTAAAGGTGGAGGGGGTGGAGTGGGATCGCGGCCGTTCATTCTCTGCAAACAAATTACAAATAATAAGGAAAATTACATTTAATAAAATATCTATAGATAGTTTGTTTTCATAGTAATATCTATACAAGGATGGTCCGAACTGTATTCTGGAAACTAGGGCAACATATTCTGCATATAAAAATAAGTAAAAAAGTTCGTGTAAATGTATGTTCTAAAATGCTTAGTTTCAGAGATACAGGGTGTAGAAGTTTCATTTTTATTTCGATTTTTTTCAAATAATTTCTGAAGTAACGTCAATATTTGGATGAGAATTGGTGTCTGGGAGTTTTTTAATATGAAAAATTTGATTTTCATGTCAATATGACTCCTACTTGTAGGGGGCCCTCCACATACATATGTTTTAACTGTTTTGAAGAGTAATAAATTTTCGTCCGTACCTGTATAAAACTACTGAGTGAAAAAATATACATTTCCATGATTTTTTACGTCAAAAATGTCTCTTGGTAAAAATCACTATGAGCAACCGTTCTCAAGATATTTGAAATGGAAATAGTCAATACACCATGTCATTGTTGACAAAAAATAAACACGTTGGGTAGATAGTTATTTGACTGAAGTAATAAATTTGGAAAATTTTTGTTTTTTTTAATTAATCATAAATGTTTCTGAGAAAAAAATGATGATAACCATCAAAAAACAGAGTCTGTTGAACTTTTGTCACAAAAACATTCAAATTTATGATTTCAGTCTAATAACTATTTAGTTAACATCTGGTTAACATATGAATTTATGTCAATGATGATATATAGGTATTGATAATTTCGATTCCAAATATCTCGAGAACCATTACTCGTAGCGATTTATAATCGTAATTTTATATCGTAAATTTATATTTTTTTACTCCCTAGTTTTATACCGGTACGGACGAAGTTCTTACTCTTCAGACGAGTTAAAAAATATGTAGGTGGCGCCCTCTACAGTTAAGAGTCTTTATTAAGAGTCACATTAACATAAAAATCAAATTTCTCATATCAAAAAACTTCCAGACACCAATTTTCATCCAAATATTGACCTTACTTCATAAATTTATTTAGAAATAAATAATATGAAATTTGTACACCCTTTATCTCCGAAACTAAGCATTTTAGGACATACATTTATACAATTTTTTTACTTATTTTTATCTGCGGAATATGCTGATACAAAAATATTGCATATTTTATTTGAAGTCATTATATTTATTTTATTTCTCTTCCCCTTAACACTTTTTGAGCTTTTAAAAAATCGTTTAAGGAATTCTAAAATCCATTTTACTTACCCAGTTATGTGTTAATTAGGACGAGTTGTCTGGGTTGCAATTTGTGACGGTATTCTAAAATGAAAACAGATTCAATTAGATACTAATCACTTTTATAGGTGGAGCACATTTTATAGGTGGTGCACATCAAATGCGGGGACTAATATAAAATATATGCGCTAGAATTTGGAGCTTATGCGCAGTAGATTTTACAAACTATTCAGTCCTACAAGGAATCCATAAGTGTATTTACACAAAGATTACTTACACGGATATGTGCTTTTTATTTTTACTTTTTATTTATACCTTCGATATCTTAATTTTTAACCTATGTATTTTTGACAAATCACAAACAAAATATGGCGTCCGTTTTCATATTGCCAACTATGGGGGCTAAAAGCTTTTAAGCCCTCCATATTACCAACCGATCCCGGAATGAAAACAGACATTTTTTTCCATGACAGTTCTGGCAACATAAAAAATAAAATGACTCTAATATGGAAAAATAAAAAATTGCTTTAAATTTTTAAAATGAACGTATAAATCGGTAATACCTATAAATCCTTAAAATGAACTAATTAAATTCAGAAAATTAGTCTTTTAGTAGACTAATAATTTATAATTTTCTGTTCATACTTTCAATTGTTTTCTATGCTATACAACTTAAAGAAAAAAATAGTACTAGACAACCCATAGAAGAATAACAAAGACAGCTTTCTCTTGCTTGGATTTTTTATCTCTCTTTAACACACAATGTATTAATAAATAATCTTTATTAAAGATTGCTTAAAAAAGTGATAAAATCAATAAACATAATATGCGAATAAATTTGGATAATTTTCTTAAGTAAGCCAAATGAAAATGCCAGTGAATAAATAAAGAAAACAAGTAGAGATTGAAAGTTGGTTAGAAATATATGCATTCAGGGATGGGCCTTTATTTAATTGCATTTTGATCTTGATTTAACAATTCAGGTATACTTAACGTGACCATATTTTTTTAAACTGAAAACGGGACATCGGTTTTTTTATCCATTCACCATATTATTAGAAAAAAAAAGCACATATTTTTCAATAAGCTTTACTAACAGCGTTAAAGATACATTAAAAACGTTGGTTATTTATTGAACATAAATTCTTAATTATCAATTTTATATTGTCAGATGAACAAATTTCTCTTAATATGTTCGGTTTTGATTTTAAATAGGAATAGAATTCTTGGCATGTCTTTTTTATATTCACTTTAGTTACCAACATCGCCTTGAGGACGGAAACCTGTAACTGAGTTTTTTCAGCTGTCCACAATTTGTTCATTAAAGAAAATACTCTTTCTACTGCTGCATTTGTGCCAGGCAGACACAAAATATATTCTATTAGAATAGAAAACTGTTCATGTTTAAGCTGGTTCGACTGAAAGTGCTTAAACACTTCTACCCAACGACTTTCCATCGAAATATTTCCATTATTCCATTCGGTTACTTTTTGTGACGTGACGTATTTAGAAATTAGAGAAAATTCGTCAAACACTTCTGTGTCCTTATCAGAATCAAGATATCCCTTTTCAATCAACGTATCCAATGCTCCTTGAACTTCTTCCCATGCAGGTACTTTATTTAAATCCGCCCAATTAAATATATCCAACTCTTTAGTAAACCAAGTCCACTGTTCCAAATATTCACGACTAGTTTTGTAAAATTCTGTGGCCGTACTTTTTACAAAGACTTCGTCAATATATGTGCCACTAGCTTTCAATTTCACCATCAAACTACGGACTGTAAATGGAAGAAACTGACTAGCCTGTTTCTGAGCCAAATTGTCTTTCAATAGGTTTATTTCTTTCGCAGCTTCAATTGCCGATAAAGTCTGACCCTCAATTTTTAAAACAGCTTGATGAAAGCTTGCCGACTGACCATGTAAGAAATAAAGCCACAATTCCGATGCTGGGTTCTCAAAAAAGGTTTTTAATATTTGAGGACATTTTTCAATGCTCAAAAAGTAGTTCTTTAATGACTGGTACATCTTTAATACCCTTTCAATGGCAGGCATAAGCGCAAGCCACCTGGTTTTACTGTAGCCCAGCATTTTTTGATATTCTGTTTCACTTTCGGTACAAAACTCCTTTAGAGCTTCAACTCGGACTGTGTAAATATAAAAAAACGAATATATCTTTACAATAATGCATTCGTAATCTATGGGTAAGCCATCTGCAGCGGATTTTATTGCATTGTGGATTATATGAGCTCCGCATCCAATACCTATTATTGCTTTATCCAGAGATGATTGTAATTTCACTAACACGTTATTAGTACCTCGCCTTGCTGCCCCTCCAAAATTGACGTTGGCATTGTCTCCACAAAACGCTACGACTTTAGCAGACAAATTATTATCTCTTAACACTTGGACTAAATAACTGACAATGATATCAGAAGTTTCACCCGGTTGGTTTTGTAGGTCCAAAATTTTTACTTGCACACCTTCGTAAGGTTGAAAAAAGCGCACTAGAACAGGGTATATTTTCTTGCTACCATGATTTGAAGCGTCGGTTGAAATTGAAATGCAATTGGACTTACCAAGATCATCTTTCAGTTCTTTAATCGCAGTTTGCGCCAAAATATTTACAACAATAGCTTCTGTTTTAGTACGCGCGCATCTAAATTTCTGATCGAAACATGATTGGATTAATTTTGACGCACAATCATTGGAGCGGAAACTATGGTTTTCTTGTATCGTGTGATAAGCCCAGACGCCCTCTGCCGCAGCGATATCCAAGTCCTTTGAAGTTGGCACACTCGACTTCTTAAAAAAATTTAACATTGAAGAACTTGAAGCAGCTGCGCGATCGGCATTTTTGTGTTTTTCAGATTTTAAATGATGTTCAATATCACCAGCACCGCTATGGGAAACACTGAATTCTGTACGACACTTTTCGCATCTGACATTTGACGGAGTATTTGTTTGCTTAATAAACGGATATTTTGCTTTTAAATTGTCATTAAAAGTGCACTTACGTTTCGGCATGATTAAATACTATTTATTAAGTCTAATAACTTTTTAAACGTTAGTTGCGTCACGATTACAAATATTACGCGGTTATCAAAGAAGAAATATTCCGACAGTAAATAACCAACATAATAATATGAAACATTACTAACGTCTATTACCAACCCAAAACTTGTTATAGTTAGGCAACCAAAGATACCTTGCACATATATCTTTCAGACACGGATGGTCTGCACCAATCAATATTTGTTGGTTTGTTGGATTTTTAGTATTTTCTTGAAAAACGGGACAATTTGGCGTCCCGAAGCGTCTTTCGGGGACACCGGGACAGACGGTCGAAAAAAGGGACGGTCCCGTTCAAAACGGGACGTATGGTCACGTTAGGTATACTTAAAATGGTAAAATTGCGAGAAAATGTAAAAAATCTCATAAATTAAATTTGTCTTTCGAGCCCACCTATAATTTAGTATATTAGATTATTACGCAACATAAAAAACATGATTAGTTAAAAAAATAATTAAATTGTGTTTTAAAGCCACCTAATTAATAAAAAAGTAAAAACTTACCTTATAACGGACCAGTGATCCTCGGGATTTTTTGGTATAAAATCTAAAAAAAAATATTTGCTTTAAAAATAATGACCGTTTTGTTATAGTCCGAAAATAAATTCACAAACAAGTTGAAAGGACTGATTTATACGTATAAATACAAAAATATATTCTCGTTTGCCATTGTAGTTGATGGATTTTATTTTACGGCCTATATCAGCACTAATAAATAACTGAAAATATATTTATATTTCATGGAAAAAAGTCCTTCATGATATTTTTGAGTGCAGCTTTGTTCTTTGTTTGGAATATATTAGGCATATTTTTAAAATTAAAAAAGGGAGTTTTGGCAAACAGGAGATTAAACATAAATGTATAATAATTTATTCAATACTAATGTAATTCGTTATTTACCTGTGTAGTCGCTACAAAGCATGTTTGTAACCTGAAAATATAGAAATTATAAGTAAGATACTTTTGTGATTGTGATGAAGAGCAAGCTATATCTGGATAACAGATTAATAACTAATTTAGCTTAAATTTTAACTTTTTAAAGCAGAATTATTTACATCTATTTATTATTTGGTAATAAGTTTATATAATAATTCTTTTAAAGTTCTTTAACAATAAAATATTCGTTAATAAAAACCTCAGTAGATTTAACAATATAGAAGACTCTGTCAATAATTTAACTTAATAAATAATTTCTCTGTGAAAATAAAGACCTCTAGAAATAAGGAATAGTTAGTATATAATGTCAAAAGGATTTAATGAAATGTGATATTAAAAGATAATTTTTACTATTAAAGTACCGTATGATCGAATAAAAACGGCGTCAGCGATGGCTATGAAATGACAATCGATGACATTTCCCATATAAATTTACATATAAAATGACAGCGATCTTCATTTCATAGCCATCGCTGACGCCGCCGTTTATATTCGATCATACGGTATTATTGAAGTAAATTTTGAAAAAATATAAAAAAACTTATAATGATTTTTAAATAGACAGAAGATTTCTGTAGCCTCTTTGGCAAGCAAATTGAAAATAAGATTACCTATTAAAAAAATCAACTCATTTTTCCAAAATATTATAAAAGCTAAAATGAACTATTTGAACTCTAGCTTTTTTTACTATATGGTTTTAGTTCTTTTTCATACGTAATAAAACTGATAAACATGAGACAAAAAAGGAAAAATATATAAATAATAATATAAAATAGATACAGAACATATCTATATTTTTGGATATTGGATACGACAAAAGACCCAGGTCATAGATGTCATTAACAGAATCAAATCCATCAAGTGAGAATTGGCAGTACACCTGGCAAGAAGGACGGACAACAGATGGACCACAAGAATTACAGCTTGGTACCCACGATAAATACAGAGACCTAGAGGAAGACCAAACCTGAGATGGGATATGATATTACATGATATTACGAAATTAGCAGGGATAACTTGGACCTGCATAGCCAAAAATAGACAATAGTGGGCCCAACTATAAAGAGAATATCTAAATATGTGAGGAAGGCTACACCATAAATGAAACTGGCTGAATAAGCTGAAAATGATGATGAGGATGATAATGACACATAATTACCATATTATTTAAGTGCATATTTTTCTTTAATTTGATAAAATAAATGTAGTTAGACAGTAGGTCTGATTCACTAATTTTTATGATAGTTTTATATTTATTGGCATTATATAGGTTAATAAAATTAGATCACGTAACCCTTATAATTTAATTTATACATTTTCCGGTATAGATAAAGACTTCACTTATTTGATTATTCCACGCATATTAATACTATCAACTCGAATCTACAAAAAATATTAATATGGACATTTGAACTCAAAAAAACTACCTGGAAAAAGTTTAAAAAATTGCAACGAGGCCTACTAGATAATGGATATCAATGGCAACTATGGTGGTCTACCAAGAAGGATTGAGAAAAGTACACAAAAGGCATAATAAGAGATATGTAAAGGTAAATATATCTCTAAAATGGTGGATAATTTGCCAGAGCAGATAGGCGAAACAGTTTATAGTAGAACATTCCCTAAAATTTACAGCAGATCTGATAAGCACAGACAGAAAGACTGTGAAAACGCTATGGTGGATCTACTAAAGAGGTCATTATCAGCTTGTTAGGCATCTAAAGATGATGGGATTTTGTCACAGCCTGGTAAATGTGCGATTCTTTGTATTAGGAAGTGATAAGTCATTGACATAGAGCTATATGGAAAGTTCAGTTTTCAAGTTACTAGACTTTCTGACAAAAGATCTAAGGAATGGAGAATGTAACCTAGAGATCACAAGGGGTTTGAAAAGGTCGTAGTGAAGCAAATCTTTAGAATGATGGAAAAATTCCCCAAGGCAGAGACAAGCGAAAAAGTTCGTAGTAGAACAATCGCTAAAATTTAAAGCAGACCTGACAAGCGCAGACAGAAAGACTGCCAAAGCTGTAGTGGGTCTACTAACAAGTCTGTATAAGCTCAACAGGCATCTATAGATGATGGGCTTGACGAACGAAGCCAGGAGCAGATTTTTTCTATCTGAAGAAAAAAGTTCAGCCTCCAAGATAGTAGACTTTTTGAAAAAGATATAGGACTGGAAAATGTGACTTACAGATCAGAAAAGGACCATATTAGATCTGAAAAGGTCATTGTTGAGCAGGGCGATAGCCATCTCAAAATTTATATCTAATCTAAAATAGGATTACTATGGAAATAATAATATATAAAACTATAGAATATAAAACTGATTACTCAGTATATTACGTCGACCCTATGTATATGTGGAGCCGTTCGTGAGGATTAAATAAAGATAGAGCTGGGGTAAAGGTCGCAATAGTATATTCGTATAGTGTGTTAATGTATTGGGATAGGCTTAGACCCGAGCATTGTTTCATTTGGATTTGAGGGTATCCTAATCGTTGCTATGCAAATGATACCGCCTAGCAAGGTCTTCAATTAATTGGCGCAGAAGTCTTACTATACAGCGGAGCCTTACATTTCTAGAATAACTTGTGTGTAAAACGAACAATGGAATCGTTGTAATTGCCAGTGGTCTGCCTCTAAATTGGCTGGTGTTGTTCTTAACTCCGGATATAAATTATAATGTAGGTTGCTAAAGGTTTGAATACTGAGAAACTTGACACAACCTTTCCCTATTTTCAGTTAAAGATTCTCATTAAGACGCAAGAGGGAATTATATCTTTTAGTTTAGCGGTGCTGGTGTGGGTATTGAGCAAAATTTAATTTTAATTATTCATAAAATTTCTTTTAAAAAGGCTATCCCTCTCTTTAGTCTGACATTCCAGATGTTTTCTGTTCTATTATTATCTACTGATATTTTTATTATTTACATTTTTCAACATTTTTGTTAAAAATATTTCATCTGGACGTATATCACATTTGATATTCTCTTTTTTGACTTCTTTAATATTATAATGCCTGTCACTACACGAGATATGAAGGGAGATCCTTTTTTACCTTAAACAGTCTAAAAAAATGTTCGAGGGGCACCTTAAATGAACAAAGAAAAAATGAGTTAGACCTTTTTGAATTCATGTCGACTTTTTTTTTCTTATTTCTCTTTTTTATTTGGTATCGTTATATTTTCTGCGAACAATATCGATATTTGACGGAACTTTAACACTTCAGTAAGAAATAAATAGAGAGGAAGATGTAAGATCTAATATTTCTTTGTGGTTTGAAATAGAAAATCTAACGACGCCTGATATTAAAATATTTAGGATATTTTTTACATATAGGTAGATATGCAATATAGATCTTAGTCATATAACAAAGTTTAAAGTTTGTGTACTTTGTATAGATCGAGTAAATTTTCTAAAATAAAGATATAAAAAGGTGGGAAATAGCATGTGAGAATTCTTCGGTAATGTTATCTCTGATTACATCTGTGGCACATTTGGGCTGCATTTTCCAGAGAGATTTAAGAAGGAAATGTAAAAGGTGTTCCCTCAGTCTATGGTTGAGCTTTAGAGAAATCTTTATGAGAGACATAGTTTTTACTTTCTTGCTGGCTAATCCGTTTTTTTATATTAGCAAAAGAAACCTATCCAACCGAACTGCTTAAATTTTTCTTCTTAATATTAGATTTAGAGGGTTCCAACATTTTCTTATTTTTAAAATAGCGATGTTATATAGGGTGAGTCTTAAATAAGTGCAGATACTTTTAGGGGTAGCATATTTCGACCCCAGTAACACGCCTATGAAGTTTTTTCGCGAAAAAAACATTAAAAATTTGGCATTTTTTGAAAAAAAAAATTTGGAAATTTTTTTAATTTCTATTTAAGACATAATATCTTCATAATTTCGCAACATAGGTAGTATATTAAATTTACAAGAAAGAAAAACCAGAAAAGATGCAGTGGTTCTACAAATTTAAGGGAAAAATCAATTTTTTTTCATTTTTATGGTAAAATATCTCCGTTATATTGAACTTATTTGAAAAACGGCAAAAAGAAATATTTTTCTTTTATCGAGTTACCATCCCTGAAAATATTTGCATTTATTTAAGACTCGCTCTGTATAAAATGCACTGTTTTCTATTATATTTTCTTTTCATAGTATAAATTAAAACGGAAAATAAGAAGGCAGCTTAAATCAACACAACAGCACAGACAACAGAATCATCAACTGAACATTTTTTAAATTCCTTTTTTAGAAAAGTAATCAGTATTAACTTAATATCACATTTCATTTTATTATAGATAACTAGTCACTTATTTCAGAAGATTACTTCTAAAACTACAATATCAATATGATTTGAAACAAATAGAACATAAAGCTGTCAACAAATTTTTGCTTACCTATAAATACTAACAATGCAATTGATTTTTATAACTGGACATTTTTCCAAGTGCAAATACATTTATATTCCAAGGAATCTCCAATAGGATTGAACATACTTATCTAAATTATGTTCAATTCGAATAATCGTTCAACATACGCTGAACAAAAGAATCTAAGCTTACGTTTTATTTTGATAGGAAATATTTACAAATGGTTGTAACCATGCTGGGAGGGTGGTCCTTATTTTCATGTTCTTCTTGCTGTTCCTGTATATACCGGCAAAGACATAGGAAAGCACGACTTAAAATTCGATCATACAATATATGTAGATATATACAGGGTGAGTCTTAAATAAGTGCAAATATTTTCAGGGGTGGTATATTCCGACCCCAGGAACACGTCTATGAGGTTTTTTTTCGCAAAAAAAGATGTTGAAAATCGTGCATTTACTTTTAAATTTCCCTGTATATTTTTCGAAAACTTTTTAGAACTGCCTGTTCACCGCAAATTTTCCCACGGTATAATTTCTTAATCTCTGATATTACCATAGTTACGGCTTTACTCCATGACACTAAAAGGGATGCAAATACAGAAAAAATCGGGTGGCTCAAAATTTTTTCAAAAAAAATCAATTTTTTTTAATTATCAAACTTAAAAAACTCGGTTATTTTGGACTTATCTGAAAAATGATAAAGAGAAAATATGTTTCTATTATCGAGATCTACCAGTCCTAAAAATATTTGCACTTATTTAAGACTCCCCTGTATATTATCAATAAGGGACAAAAATACCTATTTCTATGTATATACCGTCAGATTTTCTGACACTTTTATGATTATCGACAATGAATAAAAAAGAAAAAGAATTCTACCAATACGTCAAATTTTAGATTTATTAATAATAGAAATATATATTCAGAAGAAGCCTATTCTTGGGATAACATCAAATTTCACCCTTTGCCTTGAACCATAAATAAAGTTTTATTGTGAACATTTGTATGTAAAATAGAGATATGACCTTCAAAAAAGAACATATTACTAAAGAATAGAAAAAAATCTCTGATGTGACCCCATCTTTAGTCCCACATGCAATTTTGCACAACATGTACATCAATACATATTTCAAATTAGAAAGTAAAAATAAATGCCAGAACTGCATTACACTTCTTTTTGTTGCAAGTTCAGATAATAATTATTCTAGCTATTATTGTGTTTTGATACTGAAGTCTTAGATTTGTCTGTAATACCAGAATATTTCAATAATAATTATTCGTTTAAATCATTCATTTTTCTAGAAGAGATACGATTGATTTCCCTTATATTAATAAATATGATTTTAAAGTTCTACTAAAGAAAGGGAATGGAAGGATAAGTGGGCAGATAAACCTTCAAAGCTTCGCGCAATAAAACAGGATCCGTCAACCCCATCTTTACTTACGTCTTGCACTAGGACGAGGGGATGAATCCAGAGTGCATCGTCTTCGTATTGGGCATACTGCGGTGACTCATGCATATATACTTAAAAGAGAAATGCCTCCAAATGATCATAGTCTGTGATGTTGAGTTGACAGTAACTCACATTATATGTGAATGTCCTCAATATACGGTAGAAAGAAGTAGATTCCATATACGTGGTGAAATTCATGAATATTTGAAGAAGAAAAAATTAAAAATATTTTGAACTTTATGATAGATATTAATATACAGGGTGACCATTTTAAAAACGAACAGTATTTAATATTGCCTCTACCGATGATCGTATGAAAATTTGGCGAAACACGTCAATTTACATATCAAGGGGGACAATTTTTGAGGCATTTATTGTCGTGTTACTTTCAACCCCTTGACCCCCAGGGCACCTACCCCTAAAATTTTAAATAGCAACCCCTCATTTTTGTGTTTCTTATAGAATTCTACATAAACTGCATTATTTATTTTGAGAATTTTATAAGGAACACAAAAATGGTAAAAGAAATAGGGGTTGCCATTTAAAATTTTAGGGAGGTACCCTGGGGGTCAAAGGGTTGAAAGTAACATGACAAGAAATGCCTCAAAAATTGTCCCCCTTGATATGTAAATTGACGTATTTCGTCAAATTTTCATACTATCATCGGTAGAGGTAATATTAAATACTGTTCGTTTTCAAATTGTCACCCTGTATACCACCAACTTTTATACTCACCTGTGATACTCTAATCCAACTGTGATACTGTGGTGTACATAATTACCTATTTTCTTGTTGTTTGTTTTTCTTTTCTCTCCTTTTTTTTTTGGTTTGTTTTGGTTTGTCTTTTTGTCACTCAACTCGAAATGTTTATGCCAATGTAGATTTTTAAATTTTGGATTGTCCTTGTAAGAGACATGGCTTTCGTACATGACGCGTCGTACATGGCTAGGAAAAAAAAATAAACAGAACTTGGTCTACTAGATAAATGCTCTGGAAATATTCCTCACAGAGTTTGGGGTAATTAAAAATTAAGCTTCTTATATCCATTTAACATGCAACTGAAAACAATGTCTAATTTTCGATAGTAAAAACCTTTGAAAAAAGAACGTAGAAGTAATCATACGTAGCAACAAAAAACGTAGATTAAAGGCAAGAGAAAAAAATAATCACAGAAATAAAATCTTCAGACATATAATTGTAACGTGTATATCCTGAAATGTAAACAAATATACACATTACAGAAAGTTTGTATGATCAAAACCCTTTTTTGCTACACTGCCAGTGCCATTTTTGTTAATTGTATAGCTTAGGCGAAGAACTTTAGTTTGAAATTAAATAAATAATAAAAAACCTTTAGCTACCAGCGCATTCCTGTATTATTCCCAAATTCAGGATATTAATATAGAGCAAACGAAGGTAATTTAATCTTTGCATATTTTTCGTTTGACTGTTAGATTGAAAATTACAATTTTTGCTCCTGTTTTTCATTAGCGTTAGATTTATCAATATCGACGAGCAAATACGCGGCATCAAATAAAAATAAGCATTTCCCTGTAGCGTATTTTTTAAATTATTGGTAATGTGATTTACATGTGAGTCGGGCGCGGCAAAATACTATTTTAGCGCTGTAGTTTGTATTCAAAATATTTTTTTCTTTTCATAATTACTTGTCATTGTAGGGTAATTTGTTTCAACTGGGAGTTATGCTCTATTCTTTAAACTGGCATTTGCAGTCAAACACTGGCGTTATCTAAAATGAAATCTCGTGCAATTTCTTTTTTGCAAAACATCACTTGTGTTGTAGTAATTATCGTTAGGATTTCAACCAGGTTTAGTTTTATTTTAAAGTAGTTTTAGAACTTAATAAAATGACGATTAGTGGATAATTTTTATTAACTATTTTTCGTCAAATATGCTTTTTATTTAAATTTTCTTGAGTATATCTGTTAAAAATTTAATAATTTATCAGAACAAGTCGTCCAAATTCTGTTTGGAAAATTTTACAGAAACTTTCACTTGTACAACCAGTAGGTCTGGCCTCTTTATACACAATGATGAACTTTGACGTACTTTAACAGCGATGCGTACATTCTTGAAGCTGCAAATTTGATTTAACCAATAGGGCCAGGTTATTTGATAATCAATTAATCAGATATTAGGACGTAAGGTATGCATGTTGAGAGGAGCTTAGAGAGTAGGAGAGAGTTATATAGGGCCTAGGAAATAAAATTGAGAGGTACTGAAACATTTTGTTGTCGAGCTGAATTAATCCCGAATGAATAAACTGCGCTCTCATAGAATATTTACGAAGCAGTGTGGAATTTTCGTGATTAAATGTGGGCGAACTATATTTTATTTAAAAAAAATCGGTAATTCACTAAGTACTGATCTATTCTAATAGATATTAATCTGGCACGTGTAACATGTATATGAACAAAAGAATAATCATCAACATAAAACAACAATCTGATAAATATTTGTAGTAAATCATCCAAGTTATTTCCTAACATTTTCATTATTTTATAACATACATTTGCGCCTCGTTTAGTTATATTATTTCCCGTTATCAACTAGATACTAAAACTAAATACCCTAAGCTATACAATTTGTAATAAAAAAAAATATTCACAAAAATAATAAACGACAGGATATAAAACGCGTTAGACGCTGCACAGCCACCAGAACTAGCAGGCTTTAGAAGCGGCTCCAAGAAGCGCATGATTGATCACATACATACACCAAGAGAAACTATTAGCCGAACAAAAGAAAACTAACTTCCGCTATCCTAGCCTTTATAGATTTTGAGAAGGCTTTTGATTCGACATATCCTAAGGCAATAATAGAAGCTCTAGCGAAACAAGGTATTGACAGGTCTTATATAGAAACTCTCACCAATATATACAAACAAGCCAAAGGATTACGACAGGGAGGCGCGATTTATATCGCCAAAGCTGTTTAGAGCTACACTAGAAAAAATCTTCCGTCAACTGGTCTGTACCAATAACGAAGGGTTAAAAATAGATGGAGAATATCTAACCAACTAAGATTCACTGATGAGATAATTCTAATTGCCAATAGTCCTGAACAACTACAAGCACAAATTAACGAACTAAATATAGCCAGCAATAAAGTAGGCCTCAAAATAGAATTAGCAAAAACTAGAGTAATGCACATCGGACTAGTAGACAGAAAAAACATTCTAATAAATAACACAACACTGGAAATAGTAGAAGAATATACACACTTAGGACAACTAATACACATCCCGGGATCTCTACTACCAAAAATCAACAGGAGAATTAAGTTGAAGTACTTATGGAAGCAACTCAATCACATTCAAATCTAGAATATCCACTTTATCTAGAGAGGAAAACATTAAGTCGCGACCTATGCATGCGAAATCTGAACACTTAAAACATATATTATAAGGAAACTGCAGGTAACACAACCATCAATGGAACGAAATAAGCTTGGAATAACCAAGAAAGACCGTAAAAGAATTTAGTGGGTACGGCAAAAGACCCAATAAGTAATAGATCTCACCCACCCTCTATAATTTAATTATACAGATGGTGATTAAATTTCGGACTTTTGAAGTCATTGCGGAAATTTGCGATTAATTTGGATTATCTAATGTTTTATTTAAAGTGCAATTCTCTATCCTGCTAATAGAAACTCAATTTATTTAATTCACCGCTTGATCGGTCTCAATTATTAGGCATTAATCTCGCACATATAAAGCAATGGAATATTAAGTATTTTAAAACCAACTTTGGGCAGGCATAGTTGAACAAAAGTTGATGTTGTGTAAAGGAACGGCACAAGTCAATTCCAGTGAATTTTCATGTGTCTTTATCTACTCGTCTCCACATGATAACACTAATTTACAAAGTTTAACTTTTTTTATATACCCCGAAATAAATGCACATAAATATGTTAGTCTACCTTCCTTAAACCTAAAAGTGTTAGAAAAAATATTCTATCACGTCACAATTTCTCGCTGGAGTCAAATGTTTTTTTTTTCGAATGCCTGACGTGGTGAGGACAGTTTAGTGTTATTCGTTTGCTTCAAACGATAAGAATTATCTTGTTTCGGCTTGATTTAAAATGTCGAGTAGAATATGTAAACAAAGTTCTGATCGTTTTTGTTATGTTTGTCGAAAATATATATTATCAAAGAAGAGAAGACCATTCACATTGTAGATTGCACATCTACATTGTATTGTAGACAGCACAGACATTGTTAGATTCGTTCAAATTTGCATATCTTCATTATTTTGGATTTCCTGTTGCAAACCAAGGTAAAAAGTGGGTGCCTCATGTGTTTTGCGAAAGCTGTAGATTCTTAGTCTTACTCCAGTGGTCATCAGGACAAAATGTACACCTTCCATTTGGGTCACTTATGGAAAGAACCTAGTAATCATGAAATTGATTGTTTACGAAGATATTGGGATATATTTGTTGGCCCACAAATCCGTAAAATTATAAAAGATTCTCAGTTTGAAAGCTTTTTATCTGTCAATGAAAAATATGCTTGGAAGTCATTCAAAATGGTTGTGAAAGAATTTTTTTGGGAAATAAAAAAAGTGAAAATTACAAAGAAATTGTTACCGATTTATTGGAAAATTTTTAACAGATGGGAGTAAACATGTCATTAAAGATTCATTTTTTGCACTCGCATTTGAGTTTTTTCCCTGACAACTTAGGAAGTATGAGTGACGAACAAGGGGAACGTTTCCACCAAGATTTAAAGGTTTTTGAAGAACGACATTTTGGGATGAAAACATGTTAAGGGATTACTGTTGGTCCATTATAAGAGAAACTGATTCAAATAGCTATAAAAAGAAGGGAAAAGTATTTTCAGTTAAGCAAAAATAGTTCATTTAAGTAACTAAATATTTCTTAAACCAGATGTGACAGAATTTTCTATTATTTTTTTTCTGGATAATTCTACCTAAATAAATAATAAAATAACAACTTTCAGCTGGAGTATGAAAACCATGTAAACTAGTGTAATCTATACCAATATATAAAATCCTTAAGTGACTGACATACTGATTAATCACGATCCTGCTCAAACCACTCAACGTAAGAAGCTCAATTTTGGCATACAGGTTGATCCTAGGGTGTAGAGGTTCGATAAGAAAGGATTTTTCGAAATTCCAGTTCCAAGAGGGTGAAACCACCCCTCAAATATTACAATATTTTTTATTTTATAAAACGGTCAAGTTTCCTAAAAAACGCTAAAACACGTATATTTTATTTTGTTTTTTTACATATTTTAAGATTTTTTAAAAATGTATACAGGGTGTTTTGAAAAATCTGGTCATTGATTAATCACGATCCTGCTGAAAGCGCTTGACGTAAAAAGCTGATTTTTGGAAAACAGATGGACTTTAGGGTGTAGAGGTTCGATAAGAAAGGATTTTTCGAAACTCGAATTCTAATGGGGTGAAACTATCCCTCAAATATTAAAATATTTTTTATTTAAAAACCGGTGAGTTTTTCGGAAAAACTCTTAAACACGTATATTTTATTTTGTTGTTTTACATATTTTAAGATTTTTTATAAATTTATACAGGGTGTTTCATAAAATATGACCATTGAGTAATCACGATTCTGCTGCTTAAACTGCTTGACGTTTAAAGCTGATTTTTGGCAAACGGATTGACTGTGGGGTGTAGAGGTTCGGTAAGGAGAGGTTTCTCGAATCTCAAATTCTAAGAGGGTGAAAACGCCCCTCAAATATTACAATATTTGTTATTTAAAAAACGGTTAGTCTTTCGGGAAAAAAACATAATTTATTTGTTTTTTTACATATTTTGAAATTTTTTAAAAAATCATACCCTGTATGATTTTCCAAAAAGTTTGGTAGTTTCTTAATCAAGATTCTACTTAAACTGCTTGACGTAAAAAGCTTATTTTTGGCAAACGGATTTTTCGAAAGTCAAATTCCAACGAGATGAAACTACCCCTCAAATATTACCAAGTTATATAATAATATCGCCATATTTTTTTTTTTCATGCTGACATAAATGTGAGAAAATTTTATCCAGCTTGTATGTTAATGAAAATTTTTGCTTTGCTTTATCATTACCATTACAAATGATTAATTCGACGCGAACGGGTACACGCTAGTTTTTAGTATAAAAAAGAAATCATTATGGGTATTTCGCCACTGCAAGAAAATCTACAAAATAAAATAGTTATTTTTTGTAAACACTGCTGGCGTTAATTAGAGATGAATTTGCCACATAGGTATAGACATTTTTTATTTGATGTTTCTTTAGATATATACCAGGTTTGGAGATTTTCTCTGTTCTTAGAAAAAAACTTTGGCAAAAAATCCGCTTAGGAATTGTCTCGCTTATGCGGAGCATGTTATAGATGTCTATAGGCACTTTATCTAGCTAATCTTGCTTTCATGTGTGCTCAATAAGTGAAACCTGTTGGTAGTGAGAAAAGCAGCAGTGTGAGTAGGTTGATTTCTTTCCGTCCAAGTTGACCAATATGCTCGTGGATTTGGAGATGCCGATTGTCCGATGCCAAAGTCCCTACAGAAAGCCCTTGATCGAAGTAGATGAACTGGTGGTATATTAGAGAGAATATGTAGCCAGAAGGTGAGTGTAGTTTTCATGGTGCCACTGATTGTTATTTAGGAGTTGTTTAGTTGTATATCTACCAGTCTTTTTGTTGGGCTATAGAGGTGTATAATATTCAGCCGCTGAGTAAACATGGTCCAGGAGAGAGCGAAGAGTTATTTCATAGTTTTTTTCAGCTTTAAGGAGGCACGATGTTTCAGTTTTAGTTGCACTTGGCTTTAGACTTCACTTTTTAAAGAAGTTTATACGAGGAGTTTTTATGTGTGTTTTTGATTTAACTTATATACTGGGTTATGCGTTGTCGTTGGAAAAATAGGAAATCGTATGAAAATATTGAACTGTCTTCATTAACTAGATGATAGAATCTTAGACCACCTAAAGGTGTGATTTCCTAGCCACATCTGGCGTCCGCGTCTCGCCACACACTGGTTCGTTTTTGTGAACGTACGTGGCTAAAACTTGTATTTATATCAATGAAAAGTAATGTATCACTTTATAGAGAAACGAACCAGTGCACGGCGCGGCGACCGGCGGACGCCAGACGTCGCTAGGGAATCACACCTTCAGATATTTTGAAATTTGCCTGGTTTTGTAGTGCCACCTTACGTTCAGTTTTAATTAAAAAATAGATGCAGTTTTTCGTAAATTACTTAAAATCAGCTTGTCCAAAATTGTTCAAATTTGGCATGTGTATTCAGTATACGCAGACCTTTAAAAACCTATTTACGACTAAGCTGTAAAATTAATAGAGGAGCCAATATCTGGACAGTTCCAAATTTGCATGGGACTTCCTATGTTTCCAACGGCGATGTAGCTCCCGATATGTCGCTTTTATTGACTTTGCGAAATGGTGAATGCTAATTATTAGGCAATAAGCTAGTACGTGTGTATGGATAAAAGATTAAGTAATGAAGATAAAAATGTTGGGAATGGTCAGGAGTTGGGAATGAAGGTCGATATGTAGGGACGGATAATGTGACTTAAGGGTTAGGGCGCTAGAGGGAGCGAGCGACGCCTGGATTGTGGAGAGCGTCGAAATCGAGACGCTGTTATTCGCTGCCGACGCCTTCAGTCACACGAGGCAACTCGCGTCGTCCGCATTTTCACTCAAATCTGGAATTCGAGGAGCGCCGAGCTTACGAACACGCGATCCCGTGTCGTAACCTAAAAATCAGACGACATTTATTTTCCCGTCTGGAAAACGTACGATTTTCACGGAAACATGACTGGCTTCATAAATATTAACTCTTTTCATTATTAACTGAAAAAAATATTTTTGCTAAATCAGCAACTTTTCGCGCAGACAACACGCATTAATAAAAATCTAAAACTGTGATTGATAAAAAATTGTGAAACAGTGATTTTTCATTGGTTGTGGTGCCAGAAAAATGTGGCGGGAAATGTTCTACACATGGGTTGCTTCTCTTACGTTATTTAACTCAGGTAAAAACGCGTTTTTTTATAACGCACACCTTGTCACTTTTAAACTTATAAAATAATACCTGACAAAAAAAAACACGCACATCAATCACTTCGCAATTATATAATTTTTTCTTGTCGGTGCAAAGAAATTAAAATTGAGCCTTTCACCGCAAGAAGAAAACTTGCAATTACAAAACTTTAAATTCAAAACTTTTTCCGGAAATTATTTATTTATTTCCTAATTATTCAGATAAGGAAAAGTTGCTCGACAAGCAATATTGGAAAAGTTTTAAAAACTAAGATACTTAAAACTCAAAGTCAAAGTTCTCTCGCTTGTAAAGTACTTTGGGACCACCAGTTTTCCGACTTGTGAAAATTATATTTTATTCGTTCAATACCAACCACTATTCGACGGAAATCTGCTTTTTCCTCGTAAATTTGATGCATGAGTAAATATTTAAAAATACTGTGAACAATAATACCATTGGTGAGAAGTTAGGAAGGTGTTAGCTTATGCTGAATTTCCGCATGAAATATTGATGTGCCAATAGGTTGGAGTGTGATAATTTACCTACATTAGATATCTACAGTTCATTAATGGATACTGAACATTAGATCGAGTTTATGCTTAAATAAATATTTGCTACTATATAGGTAAATTTACATATAAAGGTTGGAGATATACAACATATAAAGGTTGGAGAAAAACTAAACTTATAATTGATTATAGCTCAGAAGTGCGAATTTGCAAACTTCCAACCAAGGCAAAAATTGTTTGAGAAAAACTATCTAATTTATATGATTTTAAAAGTTTTAAGTTACTATACTTTAGGCTAGAAGAAAAATGGCTTTCACCAAAGTTGTTCATCAAATTATTTTTTATTTGGAAATAGATATAGCGTTTTTGTCATATAACAGAACAATTCCAACCTAATATTTAGAATTTTACAATGATATAGCCAACTGATTTTGTCAAAAAACTTAGTAAGCAGTCTGACTTTCTTTTTCACTTTTTAGGAAATAATTTTGGCAGGCTATTTAGCAGTATTTTTCAGACAACCTTTTACTTTCCTGATTGAAATAACAGATCGATCCTGCCAAAAAGATTATAACAGACATCCTTTAGTAGGAATAAGCTTTCTTTTACTTCTCTTTGTCCGGTAGAAGCTTTAACAAAAACGTTTTCGAACGTCTTAGCTCATTTTTTTGCCTGTGCCTTACTGTCATGTCATTTTATAGTGTCAGATAGGTCTGTACTAGTAGAGGATGGATAATTTTTGTTAGATAATTTAGGTTGAGCGGTATTTTTTGATATTTTATTCTCCTTTTTTACTACTTTTAAAGACATTGGATTGGAAAGACATTGGATTGCATTTGGAAATTAATAAAAAATATCTTTAATTCCTTAATATTTAAGAATGTGACTTTTATCAACAGGATACAGGAAATTAACTTTACCCTTATTTGTATCGACAGTGGCTAGGATTTGTGGCTAGCTTAGAACGTAATGTTAAAAATTCCGGATAGTGAAATTTACCCTTGTGCTTTGAAGCAACTAAAGGATTTCCGGAATAGCTTTAATATTCAGTAGTTTTACCAGGCTCGAGCCAATTCCTAACTGAAAGTTGACCTGTTGGGTGTCGCATAACTTTTTCAAGAAGTACATCTTTAGAAAAAACTTTAGAATATAAAATAACTTTGTTTGGAAAATTTTAAAATTAAAACTAATTGCTTTGTATAACTGACAGACTTTTTTAATTGGTGAAATGAAAATGAATGAAAATTATACATGGTAGCAACCAGTAGAAACTACACTGAAATTTGATATTTACCTTTTAAACTCTGGCGCTTCAGAGCTCAATTGGGTGATATGGTTATTGGGAGATATTTATCGTATTTTTTAGTTGTAAACTTACACTCAAAACCGAGCTCAAAACCAAATTTTTTTTACCCAGAATAGTTTAAAAGTTAACTGTTATAGTTGTTATACTTTCAAGCAGCTAAAGGATATTTCTGAAATTGAGAATATCAAAATTAAATATGCCACCTCTCATATAGTTAGTGATGAGTGATATAGAGCAAATGCAAAAACAAGACTTACCTTGGTCTTGGTCTTACAGGGCCCGGTCTTGTCCTTGGTCTTGCTGCAAGACTCTTGTAGGTCTTGCACTTTTGTATACATTTCTACTAAAAGTCATTTCTACATAGAAAATCTTAAAAATAGTTTCTCATGTAACTTAAAGTAATTAATCTAATAAAACTTTAAATAAAGAAAAAAATTTTGATCAAAATTTCTGTATGTACAGTATGTCCCCGGATCATCTTTACAAGAGGAAACCTCTTTTTATAGTTAATATTTTGAGACAAATATATTTATAAAAAAATTGCTAGTTCTAAAATTGGTAATATGCGAGTAATTAAAAAAATGCATAGAAAAATGCAAAAGAGTCTTGTTGCCTGGACTTGGTCTTAACGTAAGTCTTGCCTAAGACTGTCGGTATTGGTCTTGGTTTTGCAGGTCTTGGTCTTGGTCTTGCAAAAATGCAAGAACGAGACCAAAACCGCAAGACCAGACATGTCTTGCTCATCACTACATACAGATTGTTAACTGGACGGTTACTTTATTGGGGAACAGAATGGCAACACTGCCTACATTCCAAATGAGTACTAAGCTACGCTGTCGACTCGTCCCGTCGCGTCGTCTCTCGACGAGCGAGCCGAGGTTGCCATATTTCTTGCCGCGAGTAATAAACAAATTAACAACCTGTATAGTTTTAGATGTAGGTGTTTAAATTATTTCAATTATATGATACAGAAGGTTTAAAATATTTAAAAACTTATTTTTACATTACTAGTAGTTCGTTCTAACTTCAAATAAGTATTTTATTCGTTTAATAGAAATTGCATTTAAATTGAGTGCCAGAGAGGATTAAATCAAATTTAATACACGACTGAATGTTTTGAGAAAAAGAATATTCCCCAAGTTGAATGGTTAAAATTGACGAAGGTGTTAAGCTCAAGTTAAATTTCTGGGAAGGGTGTAGATGTTTCAATACGTTAAAGCGCGATAATTGAGAAAATATATTTAGTATCTTCAGTTTATTAAAATGTAGGTAATTAGTACAAGCTCTTTGATATGTCTCTAGACATAATAATGTTTGTAATCTGAATAAGTATTTTACTCTGTTATGTTTTGATGAAGAAAACTTAATTAAAATACCTTCAAAAGGTGTTAATTTATAACGTGAAAATATTCAAACATAAAAGCAAATATAATTAGAAAATTCTATATACTTGATGCCTTTAAAAGTTTTACGATAATACCTTATTTAAAACTTTTAATTTTTAGTCCATTTAAACAATTTTAGGATAATAGATTGGATATTTTTTACTTTGTGAGAGAAAATTGTAATGAACATCTTTTTCTAAGTACCTTTTAACAAAAGAATCTAGCGAATGTTTGCTACAAAAGTTAATTTGAGCGATATTTGTAGTGTTTAATGGTGGTTGGAATAACACTTAAGTAGGTACTACGAAGTTGTAGGAAATAGTTAATTATTTCCTTTATACTAGACGGTAACTAAATTATTTCCCGGGCAACTTATAATGCTTTTAATACCCAACAAGTTTACAAGACGCTGGTAAATTATATTAGTAAACTTGACCCATCCTATCCCAATTTTGACGTTAATATACATAAAAAATATTTTTATTTGCTCATTGGGTATGTTTATCCTTATTGTGCAGAGAATTACATTTATTCTAAATTTAATTATTTAATACATGGCCAAAATATTATTTGCTGATATATATTTGCTAATATAATCCTTTAATAAATGTATGGGTTTAAATATCGGTTTATGAATAGATTAATAATGATTCCTGGAATAAATAAAAACTGTTTTAATTTCTTATCTTCGAGGACAGAAAAGAGCAATTAAAACACTTTTAATTTATGAAGTGAGAATTTGAAAACATAAAATCAAAAGTAAATGGTTTCAGGAAATCGTCTAAGTTTAATGATTTCGAAAGTTTTCAGGTAGTGTTTTAGTTCGGTGTGGAAGAAGAATAATTTTCGCTGAAGTTTTTCAGTCCATTTTTGATTTTTTTTCTCGGGAACAGTTTTAGTGGGTTTTCGGTTATTTAACCGAATATTCCAAAAGAACCTTTCGCTTAGCTCAGTGAAATCGAACCTGTCAAATACATTATAATAAGTACCGTATGATCGAGAAAAAACGGCGTCAGCGATGGCTATGAAATGAAGGTTGCTGTCATTTTATATGTAAATTTATATGGGAAATGTCATCGATCGTCATTTCCCAGCCAACTGGACGCCATTTTTTTTCGATCATACGGTATCTTTTGCTTCAACCATCTTTTCTTAGCTCTTTTTTTTAGTAAAGTTTTAATATAAACCTTTTTAGAATCTTTAAAAAGTATACTTGAACTTCTCTGCGGTTACAAATTTATTGTATATAAATGACTGAAGTTATAGTATATTTATTTTTGGATATTGGATTTCGGTCGTTAATAGATAGAATCGTTAATGACAGAATCCGATATTAGCACATACATAAGATGCAACAGGTGCAATTTATATACCTAAACACCTTTGGTTGAAAACGCATGCATATAAATAATATTTTAATATTTATTATACATTAAAATATGAGAATGTAAAATAATATTTGATATAGATCCACTTATAGTCACCTAATATTTATTTATTTATTTATTCCACACACGCTGAAACGTATTTATTTTGTTATTTTATTTCTATCGAGTTTGTTGTTGACTCTAAAAAGGGTCAAATATGCTAATATTTTCACAAAGGAACTCTGCATTTTTTAACATAGATTAATTTTTCGCTGCTTTACTGAAGGGGCTAGTTTGTTTACTTAAGAAACACCCCCGTTCGGGCGTAATTATACATTTTATTTTTGGCAAAATATGAAAGAAGGTGCATTTTATGTAATTATCTGCAACGTCATAACAATTTAGTTGGTATGAGAATTTTTTTT